AGACAAACGGTTTTGTCTTTAAAAATCAACTTCTTTATCTGTCTTTACTATTACTATATTATTATTATCTTTATTTTATGGTATCGGTATCTCGAAGGAATTAGGTGTCGACCTCGTCAAGGTCGATCTTTTACTGGTGGTAGGACCTCTTGTGACTCCGTGCGGGTAGGTACCACTACCCCGCCTATTTCTGGCGTGAAGCAGTAACGCGTTTCGGTTTGAAGAGTGGGGCAGCCGTTGTTACTATACTTGAGACCTTAGAACTTATATCTCAAAGTGGGTGGCGCATTTATGTCGTAGATGTCTATGGGCTCCAGTAACCACTTACCACCAGGTGGGTTGTGAGCTCGTCCACACATCCAGACAATAAAAAAAACAGTCTTTAGGCTTTTCGGAATAACCGTAGAAGCCCCTCATAAAAGGCATTCCAACCCAGTGCCACAATAATAGTCAGTTGTACAGACACTCTTCCCGTAATTGTCACGCGCGTTAAGTGTTTGGGCGATCACGCCACGTCCCTTTGAACTTGCGATCAAAAAGCTGCGACGAAATCGCCCATCGAAAAATGATGCGTCCTGTGCTGGACACAGGATTACCTCGCGGATTACCGTGGATGCCCTCGAGGCCCAAAAATAAATAGCCGCATCGCCATAGACTCATAAAAATAATAACGAACACGCACTAATTAAAATACACTTAATTAAAGATGTTGTATAATTACAATTCTAACAACAATCAGATCCACATCAGTATCATGTGAAACGACGTTAGGATGATGTGAAAATAATTTATCTACAAATGTTATCGCTGGGTCGAACAGGATTGAACTTAACCTATTTAAGTTGAAGATTAGATAATAATTATTACACCACAAAATTACAAGTTTGAATTAATCAGCTCGTTTGTTTTCTAATTAGAGTTCATTGGCGTGTTTTTTTTTTTGTAAGTTTTAATTGCCTTTCAGTTTTTACGTATGTAATTTTAAATTTTATTATTTAATTAAATTTATTGATAATTATTACAATTTAATCGACTCGGTGGTGCAGTAGCTAGCGCCTCTGTCTGTTGCGCCGGGAATCGTATGTTCGATTCCCATATGGGGCAAACATTCGTGTGATGAACCGGTTTGTTTGCTCTCTATCTGGGTGTTTGTTATCTATACTTAGTCTGGCCATAAATACTGTTACAATTAAAAATAACTAAAAGATTACATTTGAATTTGGAATCTGTCCTTTTTATATGATTGCTCATTGAGTTTTCTCATTTTGGAGCCAATACATTGTACAATATTTTGCGATATTAAAATGGAGTGGGGTGATAAAGAGAACCGAATCGCTGTGGTTGCATTACACAAAGTAGGTATGGAGCCAAATTCAATTTTTAAAACTCTCCATACACTTGTTTGCTCTCTATCCGGGTGTTTGTTATCTATATATGTACATATATATTTAAATGTATATAACTATGTATATCATAACACATGAAATCCCAATTTGAGGCCGGATGACCGTGCGTCACCTGTTCCCGGTTATCATTATTATTATCTATTATCTCTATATATAAAAATGTATTGCTGTTCGTTAGTCTTGCTAAAACTCGAAAATGGCTGGAGCGATTTGGCTAATTTTGGTCTTGAATTATTCGTGGAAGTGCAGAGAAGGTTTAAAAGGTAAATAAATATGAAAATGCTCGGAATTATACAAAAATAACAATTTTGTTTTTCCTTTGACGTGTCCCCCGTCGGACGGATTCCTTTTGTTTGTTTTAAGTTTATTTTATATAAAACTTTAGGTCTTTTATTTATCGATTGAGGCACTACGAAGTCTGCCGGGTCAGCTAGTTATTAATAAATGCAGCTTTAAATTCCTGGCCTCGTAATTTTTATATGTTACAAGTAGACACGACACGTAAACCTTTATGAATAAGTCGTAATAATCTGGACTTTTTTGATGTATTAAAAAAAAAGTTATTACAACATGAAATTCTGTATTTAAGCCATTCTCGAACCCAAGCACAAAAAAAATCGTCAAAATCCGTACAGACACTTAGGAGGTGTTCACTAACGTCTACAGGGACAAAAGAAATATTGAGATTTGTCCAAATCTTTATTATAAGTAGTAAATAAACGATCTCCGAAAATAGGTAAAAAATGCGTATAAATTAGTTGCATTAAAATTTGTAAGTTGTGGTAAGGCCATATTCTGAGGTATCATTGTCCAACTTATTTTTATTGCAAAACGGCCACTTCAGAATAAAACAATCTAGAATATTGCAATATGTATTGTACAGTAAGGAACGAAATAAGTGCCTGAAGACTTACCGATTCACCTTCCTTCCACTGCCTCGCGCTCCCTGAGCTCAGCGTCGTTTCCGGAGGTGGGACCGTCTGTCCCTTGACTGGTACACGATGAACGATTGTCGCTGGTTCTAATAGCTACGCGTGACTTGCGTTGGATAATTTTTGTTTTTTTGTAATAAAGAATGTCTGCCGCGGAACGCGTGTGCTATGTGTACTATGCGACGGCGATCGCTGCCCGTAGGTTTGGAGGGGTTGCTCAGCTAGCTTCTGGTTGGCTAGTTGGCCGTCTACAGGCGAGATCGAACCTTACTGCGCCTAAGTTAAGACTTGTGTTGTCTTGAAGATTTATTGCCTAATACTCGATACTAATAAAAATGTAGAAACACGAAAAAATCTGTTACAGTACGAAACATGCCGCTCACCTTAAAATAATGCAATTGTTTTAACACTACTTATGAATGAATTTAAAAACTCAGTAACTCAACTACGTATGTGTGAAAATAATATGTTAAATTTAATACGGAACCTTTTAGATTGCCCGCTATTTTGAATCAACCTCGATATGAAAATCCGACAACATCTTAGTCTCGTAAACGTGTAGTAGACTTACGTTATATTCAAAACAAAACATATTTGACCTAAAGATAACTACACTCGTGGATTTGTGTTATTTTAAAATTTCTAGAAAAAATACTATTAACAAACAACCAGGACTCTTTATTCTTCAGCGAAATTGAACCTTATGTTAAATTTCATTTTGATATTTACCGTTTTTTTTATTGCTTACATGGGTGGACGAGCTCACAGCCCACCTGGTGTTAAGTGGTTACTGGAGTCCATAGACATCTATGACGTAAATGCGCCATCCACCTTGATAAGTTCTAAGGTCTCAGTACAGTTACAACGGCTACCCCACCCTTTAAACCGAAACGCATTACTGCTTCACGGCAGAAATAGGCGGGGTGGTCGTACCTACCCGTGCCGACTCACAAGAGGTCCTACCACCAGTAAACGTTAATGAAAGAACTACAGCTGTCCTGTACCTGCATCTTGTGATTAGTGGCCGAACAGACTCTTGTCAACAGCACCCTCTGACCTCATCCAGTAGATAACACATAGCCTTCAAATAGTAAAGAAATGGTAACAGATAGACGAATGTATGAAAAATATATTCTGACCTTTGACTGTTGTATTGATAACAATGTTTGTCGCAGACTATAAGAAGCCATCGATTCTGTTTCCATTGTAGTTCCGTTCCGACCCTTCGTTGAACTGAGCAGGTTAGTTTTTTTATTAATATTTCTGTTTTATTATTTTTTAAATTTTTATTTCACCTTGAGATAAGGGGTCTGAGATCTCAGTTTTGACAGTACACCGGCTCCGCAACCTTAAAACTAAAACGCATTACTGCTTCGCGGCAGAAATGGCAGTTTTTGATGTGAAACATCTATAGCCGCACGTAAAACCGATTTCTGGCGTGGCGACGCGTCGCCATGCGCAATCGACTGTGCGATTCTCTCCCACTCGATCCGGCGTTAAGCCATCTCTCTCGCTACACTGAGCTCGGATACCTATAGTGTATACTCCGTAGTGTATACAGTGTTGTTTACTACAGTACACATAAGGGGCCATCCATAAAGTACGTCACACGAATTTTAGGACTTTTGAACCACTCCCCCCCTCCTTGTCACAGGTTGTCACATTTTTACCCCCCCCTCCTGATGTGACGTCACACATTTTTTAAATTTATGTATGTATTTAAAAATAATCGAGAGAAAACAGCTATTTTAATTTTTTACTTATTTTTATTAAATAATAATCTAATAAAATCAACATAAAGTCCAACATTTCATAAAACCGAAAAAACAAACGACTAGTTAGAAAATAATAAACGATTAATTATATTAATTAAAGATAAAAAACTTAATTATCGAGTGTCCATGGACTTTGGATCCACTCTTTTATATCAGCTATTACTGGTAAATCAGGCACTTCATTNAAAAAAAAAAAAAAAAAAAAAAAAAAAAGTGAACACGTAAAACATTTAGAAGACAGATTTTATGAACGTGATGGCTGCATGGATAATATTACGGATAAATTCATAATTGAACTAAGAAACGACATCAGCACAGATTCGGATACGTCAGACGACGCTTATGCAAGTGACAGTCTGGAATCGTTTCTTTCGACCATAATTACTGTCAGTAAAAATGAAATAAATAAATAATTTAAAATTTAAATTGTGTCATAATTTACAACCTTCCTAGTCTTTTAGCTATATATTATCTAGACATATATTAAAAATAAGCCAGGTCGATATCTGTGCTTTGAAGATATTGAAGAAAAACTAATATAGGGGGTTTTTATTAGAGCAACAGAAGCCAAAACAATAATTTTACATTACACACAAGATAATGGGGGGTACATATATTGTTTGCAACACCGTTAGCAATGCTACCAACTCTCAAGGCAGGGGACATCTTATGCTGAACGGTCTGTACATGGAGTTAATAACCTACAACAACTCTATGTACCACTATTACAATGATAAAATATAAATCATACAAGACTTGGCTTCGGCTTTTTTGCAAATTTATTTAAAAAATTATATAGAACAGACAAGGCGTATGGGCTTAGATTCCCTTGCCTTTCTTCATAAGGAATGGTTGTACCAAAAAAAAAATTGTCTATAGTCAGTTTTAAGCAAAACAACTTTTACGACATGGAACCAGATTCAACAACTTTTGAAATTAAAAATCAATCACATCTTCCGTTCAATACGAACATAAGGTAAGTTTCATTGAATTAAGTTCAGGGTAAATTGTAGTTAGATAATACTTGTTTAGGATTTGATAAAGGCTCTTTAGTTTTGATGTACAAACTCGACAGTCACTTAGATTCTCCTAATAAAATTTCATTCTCTAACGATATTGTATTGTTATTTTACGTTTATGTGATTAAATATATGTACATTAGTAGTATTACTACAGTGAACATAATCATACGATTTTTCAGGAATTTAAAGTTATACAACGATTTCACAGAAACCAATGGAACTGCAAGTGCAGAAAGTCAATTAGTAGAGAAACTACAACTGTATGGCTTGATACCAAGATCCCTATCATGTCCGACAAACAAGTCTGATTGCAAGCTTAGTGTAAAAACAGCTAGGGTCATTGATCGGTAAGTTTAACAATAAGTGGCCTAAAGTTATTTTTTGAACTAGCAGTCTTTCGTTAGGTCCGCAACTAAGTTGTTGCACCTTATCAATAGCTTAGCAATGAGTGCTGGTCAATTTTGGTAGATATAAAACATTTTGAAGCAAACAGAAGTAAACCACTTTGAGACGAATCAGGAGGATCCATTAACGGTGCTTTTAGGTACCTCGAGCACCGGTCACCGTCCTCCCGGAGTAAATTAACCTACAGACACAGCCCACTGAGTTTCTCGCCAGATCTTCTCAGTGGGTTGCCTTTCTGATCTGGTCATATATTTTGCGAAGCTCTTACTAGGGTTCGTGTTAACAACAACGTCAGGTTTGAGCCCTGCGAGCTCACCTACTAGGCGAATCTAGAATAACCCCTTGATTATTAGAATAGGTAAAAAAAATAATTACGCATCATTCACAGGAAGTGTAGCTTTTCTTCATTCATTTAATTGGAGGTATTGCTTTATGAGGATCAGTCTGCTTCAACATAGGAGTTACTTGCCAAGCCATTTCTAAGTTATTGCATGTATTAGAATGATTCAAAATCAAGAAACTTATGTTCTTTACCTGTCTTTGTGATTGAATCCGATTATTGTAATCCATTATTGTAGTGATTAAAATTAGAGATTAAGATTAAGATTATTAAAAAATTAGAGATTAAGATATTAAAATCTTATAATAGTTCTTTATCTATGTTATAACTGAAGACTATCAGTTGTGCCTACAACCTGTGACAAAAATTTCAATTAATGATGTTTTGCAGAGTTCAGTGGTCATGCAAAGGATGTGGAAAAAGGTCACCAATAAGGACAGGATCATTCTTCCATAGGTTACCATGTTCCATACTACAAACCCTCCAAATAATTCTGGCTTGGTCTGAGGATGCTGATTTACAAGTAGCTGCAGAACATTTTGGTGAGTGAGTTGCTTTCAGTTAGTATTAATAAAAAAAAACAAAAAACTTTTTGACCAGTCATGGTTGAACCACTACTTAAAGATCAACTTAGTCATGTTTTTTAGATAGACAATTTATTATTTAATTATAATTATATAAATTAGGTACCTATATAGAAAGATTAGTATATGGATACTAACAAAACTAAATACTGTATGGAGGGTAGCTATCAAGCTAAAGCTAATAATCAAGGTTATTTCGCAAGTCGTTGTGGCTTAAAGGATAAGATGTCCAGTGCATTCGTATCTAGCAGTGCATAGGTGTTCGAATCCCGCAGGCGGGTACCAATTTTTCTAATGAAATACGTACTTAACAAATGTTTATGATTGACATCCATGGTGAAGGAATAACATTGTGTAATACAAATCAAACACGCAAAATTATAATTTGTTTAATTACTGGTAGTAAGACCTCTTGTGAATCCGCACAGGTAGGTACCACCACCCTGCCTATTTCTGCCGTGAACCAGTATTGCGTTTCGGTTTGAAGGGTAGCGCAGCCGTTGTAACTATACTGAGACTTTAGAACTTATATGTCAAGGTGGCTGGCGCATTTACGTTGTAGATGTCTATGAGCTACGGTAACCACTTAACACCAGGTGGGCTGTGAGCTCGTCCACCCATCTAAGCAATAAAAAAAAAAAAAAACATGACGATTAGGCTCGAACGAGCTTGGGCATTGTAGCTGCAAGTAGTTGCAACCAGATCCCGTGTGCAGGGTGGCGGAACCGCCTCTATACATCGACACGAGTATCAAGTTAAAACCATTGATCCATTGATGTCGATGGATTATTTCACATTAATATTTACTGGTTATGGGTTTATTAGGTTTCTTTAGATGTAAGTTTGACATATTCTAGCTATATACTCGTATATGTTCATGATATATACGTGATATTAAGCCAATTCCATGAAAGCTTAATCTAAGCAATAAATCATTAAAATAAAATAAATGATTTATAAACTGTTTAAAACAATTGGTGGTAAGGTGTCTTGTGAGCCCATACAGGTAGATACCACAACTCTGCCTATTTCTGCCGTGAAGCAGTAATGCATTTAGTGTTTGAACATGGCCAGCTGCTGTACTGTAAAACAGACATGGGACTTCTGTCTCAAGGTGGGTGGTGGCATTTATGTTGTTAATGTCTGTGGTCTCTGGTATCCACTTCACACCAGGTGGGCCGTGAGCTTTTCCGCCCATGAAAATTAAAAACTAATTCTACCCTCCGAAGTACTTTGTCAAATAAAGTGGCACAGCACGAATACGTGCTTTTCGATAAAATAAAATACAAATTTTAATACTTTTCATGTAATAAACATTACACTTCCCAAAATTAACATTTTCTAAATTGTTTTACATGCACTCGCCCTGATAATATGGTAAGTAATCTAAATGAAAATGAGAAGCCTTGTTTTAATGTATTTATAAATTTTTCTATTTATTTACAGTTAATGATGGTATAGCTTAGTAATTCTTTCGAATCTTAGCTGAATGCTAAGTCTGCTCAGTATTACTACACAGATATTGAAACATTAGTGTTTTTTCTCAGTACCTACCATCTAAAGAAGCTGATAATTATTCATTACAGGTGTAAAGCAGAAGGTGGCACGACAAATCTTTGATAAACTAGATGATCTGGTGATAAAGGAACATAAAAAATGTCTGCTAGGAGGCGAAAATACAGTTATTTTGACTGAATTATATCCGGACTGTGTGAACAGACTCTCGCCGGATACAACAGATCAACCTCACTTGCACAGAATACTCATGTTAGCTGATACTAAAGTAAGTTTTTTTAGAAGTTACATAATATGTTATAGATTATTCTAATGCACAGGTAATTTGCTAAAAAGCATTGATACCTTAGCATTGAAAAAACTCGGCCTATGCTCATCAATAACCGAAGCAAGTAAATAAATAAGATGTTTTTTGTAAATCAATTTCTTGAAAATGTCTATTTGGTATTATATATATCCATTGTGCTTGCAGCATGTGAGCAACCCGTCATAATAGCTGGTGGTCAACTGCCTCGTCCACCACCATAATACAGTCTGGATTTTTATTTATTGTAAATAAACACGTACCTAACTTGTGTTAACAAAGGGCTTCAGTACAGTAAAAATTCTTTCATTCTTCATTTTGTGTAACAAAATTCACAGTCAGCAGGTGTAATATGCACATGCAGTGTGCATTGCACACATAGTTTCATTATCTTTTCTAATTCTGCCACTTGACAGTTGTGTATTCTGATTTCAACAGTAAGACAAGTGTTAAATATTAATATAATACAATGGAGACTTAAACCATGTGTCTCATACAGAATGTGAGCGGTGACCTTCTTGCGGTAGCAATGTCTATCTAATGCCTCTGAAAGCAGCTTGACATTTAATTAATTGTGATATAACATCTTATAATAATAAATAAATATACACATTTATATTTTTCAGTTAATCCCCACTGACTACAGATTGCATGTGCTTAGAGATGATGCCAAAAAAGGGTTCAATTTAGATGATCAAGTAAGTACTTCACATTTATTTGCTTACACATGCTTTCTATAATGTATAACAAATATGGAGTGTTGGCATTCAGATTGTGAACTCCTGTTGACTGTCCAACAGGTGCTGGAGTCTATCTTCTAAAAATCCAAATTTTGTTTCTTCAAGTAAATGTTAAACTTTATACTTTCATAAGCATGTGCCAAAAATAACTAATACGACTTCCGATGATATGTGAACGACGTATATAATTAAGTTAAATAAAACCTAAAGTATTGATAAATTTGCTTAATAACCAGTGCAAAGTTGCTATATCTGTTGTACTATATAACTGAGTTCTCGACCCCATATCTCAAGGAGGTCGTGACGTCATGGGGCTCTGGTAGCCGGTCGGTAGAGGGAGAACGCTGACTTAACTAAGCCGCTAGAACATCCAGAGTAATACCAATTTGTTGCAATGCAGGCCCTGACAGCAGAAGTTCGTCAAATCATATCAGAGACGGTGGAAAGTAACTCGATGGTTGTGAACGGCTCGAGTCTACCAAACGTCGAGGGCGCGTCGTCCATGCAGCAGCTACTGAATTATTGTGATGGCGACATGAAACATTTCCGTGAGTATCGAACTCGCCAATCGTTCGTCTTTAGAAAATCTTCACCTTACATATTGTCTTAACTGCATCCTCTAAGATATAGGTTTCCTATATCGTCTTCTCGCATTAAAACTGTATAATCTCAAAACTTACTAGTTTTAAAGGTTTAACATTGATATTTTGAATAGTAATCATCTTTGCAAAGTTTATTTTTTATTTTTTACTTTTTATCTGTCTTCTAAAGTAAGATAAAATTATGTATTAATTTTGTTAATAGTAGTCAAAACATAGGTAAACTAAAAAAAAAAATTAAAACTAAACTACATACTCTCTTTTGACAGTATTTAATTTATTAGAAAAATACTGGTGATACCAAATGATTCCACATATTAACAAAATTTCGAAATATTTGGAAATTGTACACTTTTAATGCGAAAAGACTTTACATTAATAATCATGCAGGAAGGGATAAGGAAGGGTGGTGTAACACGATCGTTTCGCTGTTGAGTGACGTCATGAACCGCTATTACCGCTCTTTACTCCCGCCATCACAGAAAGACTGCTAATTAAATGTCGGTAAAAATGACTCGGTGGGACTGTATTTCGCGCGTCAGACTGTTGCGTCGAGGGTCGTGGGTTCGATTCTCACATCGGAGAAACATTCGTGTGATGAACAAGTTTGTCTAGTTGTTTAATGTTTATGTACTTAAGTATTGTATATAAGTATGTACGCCAGTCTCTGGTACCAATAACACAGGGAATCCTAATTTGGGGCCGGATGACCGTGCGTTATTTGTTCCCAGTTATTACACAAATACAAAAATATAAAATACTTTATTTTCAAAAGAGAGTTAAAATAGTATGTACAATGATTGGAGTCTCCTTTTAAGCGTGCAAGCCTGTACTGCTATTGAAGTTATACTTCTTTAGGCGCGTTATGAAAAATTGATGAGAGTGAAATTTTACGATGCGCGCGCACCGTGACACAAAATTAACAGAATGAATGACACTAAATCGCTCATTACAATACGACCGACGTAACTTGGCGAGTCTGAATATAGCCGCAGGTGAACTTTTCGAACCGTACCGAGCGAATTTATACGATGTCAAGAAAAGGGATGTCCAATATACGTGTTTGAGGATGTTGCTTAATCGTTTTTTTTTTCAAATTGATTAAAATTTAAACAAATAAAAAAAGAAATCAATTTAATAAAAATAAAGTATAACTTCTTACGCGCGTACATAAGTACACGCACCCTTTTTTATAATATTTATTTATTTAAACCACTTCTGAACGGTTATAATATAGGTATGCATGTACAAAAAAATACATTTAATAATTTTCTTTGAATTTATAGTAACTACAAAGATATGGCGGCAGGCGGTGACGCTGTGCGCGGCTTCGCGGGACTTCTGCGCGGGGTCATCGAACGTCGGCGCGTGCGCGGGCGCGGCGCAGCGCTACCTCCACGTCGCGCTCTACCGGCTGCGGCACCGCCACGCGCTCTACGACCACGTGCTCAACCTTGTAGCCAAACAGTTTAACGGAGGGGATACTCAAAGCGAATGAAGCAAGGGTATTCGTCTATACTAATATATAAATCTACGGTAGTTTTTACGGATGTTCCGTTATAACTACTGAACCATGCATCCGATTGACTTGAAACTTGGTATCAATGTAGAAAATACATGTACTTAATGGATATGCTAATATTTATATGAGTGTTGGACTCCCTACATCAGTTGCGGGGGCGTTAATGATGAGAATCTTTGTGGGGGTGAGAAATAATAATGTTAATTTTAAATGCCCAGCGAAGCGGACGGGCAAAGCTAATTGTATTATAATAACACATTTTTAGACTGGTGGTAGGACCTCTTGTGAGTCCGCACGGGTAGGTACCACCGCCCTGCCTATTTCAGCAGTAATGAGTTTCGGTTGGAAGGGTGGGGCAGCCGTTGTAATTATACTGAAACCTTAAAACTTATATCTCAAGGTGGATGGCGCATTTACGTTATAGATGTCTATAGGCTCCAGTAACTATTTAACACCAGGTGGGCTGTGAGCTTGTCCACCCATCTAAGCAATAAAAAAATAAATAAAAAAAGACTTCAGTCATATAGAAAGAAGAGATTTGCGAACATGAAGTTGGAAAATAAAATGGGAATTCTATTAAAAACCTATGCAAATAATAAAAACTAAATAACAACGTGCCTTATCAATTTAGTGTGTACAGTTGTAAAATACTTCCAGTAAGTGAAGATAGCTTTCTTAAAAGCAAAGAATTTTTAAAAAGTTCAGCCAAATACAAAGTAAATAAAAATAAATAACTTGGGATTATAATTAACTACTTTATTATATTGGACATAAAAGCCAATATTAGTCATGTAATTATGTGATTAGAAATAGCGTTAAAGTATTTTATAGAATTTTTTTTGGGCGATCGACAGCACCACAAACTCGTACTGAGATTGAAACTGAACTGAACTGGGACTGAAACAAAACTGTTTGTTGTTAAGCTTGATGTATACATTTTCGTAATTAAAACAAACTTTGACGACTCCGTGATCATGAAGGAATACTGTAAATTCGAAACCTCGGAAATAACAGAATGACAATGAAAACTGCAACGTTAAACCGTAAAAGTGTAAAACCATTTTTATTCTTGTTACCTCTGTCATTCGCGAAATCTAATCTTTGGTAGGCAGCGGCTTGACTCTGCCCCTAGCATTGTTGAAGTCCATGGGCGACGGTAACCACTCATCATCAGGTGGGCCGTATCCTCGTCTGACTACAAGGGATAGAAAAAAAAATCCAATGAAAATTTATGTATTTTCATTGGATTTTTACATTTTCTGTTTTTTTTTTATTGCCTTTGTAGGCAGACGAGCGTACGGCCCGCCTGATGGTAAGTGGTTACCGTCGCCCATGGACTTCAGCAATGCCAGGAGCAGAGCCAAGCCGCTGCCTACTGCAAACTTCGCATTTGAATCGTACTTAGTACTGTTTCGATAAGAGCCTGCCCTACGTAACTACGTAAAGACCGAGGTAACCCCGGATTTTCGTATAAGTCTTAGTTTGGTGAGCAGTTTTTTCGTGTTGATTGGTTTAACATTAATTTTTTAATATAATACTTAGTTATAACCTAAATTCGGACCGTACAGACTAGCGCGGAGGCATCCGGTGTGAGGGTAACGAATGCTCATGAATGATTACAAATGGCATAGGTACATATGCCATCGCATGATAACAAAAACAATTTTTTGATGTGAAACATCTATAGCCGCACGTAAAACCGATTTCTGGCGTGGCGACGCATGCCGTGGCGACGCGTCGCCATGCGCAATCGACTGTGCGATTCTCTCCCACTCGATCCAGTAATACTCCGTAGTGTATACAGTGTTGTTTACTACTACTGTAGTAGTGTAATAAATAGTAATAGTAAAACACATAACCTGTGTTTTACTTGAAAACAAATTATTTTTTCGTAATATTTTATTTTATCATTATGACATATTTAGTTCCTATCACAATCTGTTCTTTTCTGCATACTACTTTTACAAAATAATGTCGATGTTTCACATCTGCCAGGCGTCCCGTGACGGCTCACATTTTTTTTAATTATAATATAATTATGTTACATTATTCCATTTGAAAACTTGATCACTGGGTGTCATCGCGAGGGCAATTTGTTCACGGTCTCAAACAAAAAATGAAAAGTAAATGGACTGTAGGAAGCCATGTTTAGTATTCTATTGTGCGTGATTTATTTTAATTATTGATATTATGATTGATATTATTTTGTTACCGAAAATTGAATTGTTAAATTCGCACGCTCTCAAATTCACCTAATGACTGTTATTTGTATTTGTATTGAGTTTTCTGTATTATGTTCGTATATTATCTTCAAACAAATGATTACGTGTCAACCTCACTTGCAATATTGTTTTTGAAAAGGAAATAAATATTTTAATGAAATTAGTGGTTTTTTAATGGATTAATTTAGGTGATTTTTTTGTGAATTAATTTAGGTTTACTGGTGGTAGGACCTCTTGTGAATTAGGGCGGGTGGGTACCACCATTCTGCCTATTTCTGCCGTGAAGCAGTAATGCGTTTCGGTTTGAAGGGTGGGGCAGCCGTTGTAACTATACTGAGACTTTAGAACTTATATCACAAGGTGGGTGGCGCATTTACGTTGTGGATGTCTATGGGCTCCAGTAACCACTTAACACCACGTGGGTTGTGAGCTTGTCCACACATCTAAGCAATAAAAAAAAGGAATAATGTCGAGAATTAATCAGCATTTTTCAAATTTGTCTTAATTCATGGTACATTGTAGTTCCGCTCAGGTATCGTAGGTAGGTATCGCCATTTTTACTATTTCTACAGTAGGTAAACTGTTACTCTTTACCAGGGCTGTCCAAACTACATAATAAACTTTGCGGGCTCATTAAATTTACTACAAAAGCTGAAGGACCACAGATAAAATACTTTCAAAAACAAAATGCTTCCCAGAAATTCCCCCAATAGTTAATAGTAAAAGATAGCTTCACTTTTAAATGATTTCATGGGAAGGGAACGCTACAAGAATAAATATAAATTATACCAAATATTGATTATATGTTTGGGCAAAGAATTCTATTATCCAAACTATTTATATCCACAGCTATTTTCTGATTAAAACATGCGTCGCGGGCCGCATGTAAACAATGTTGTTTGGACAGCTCTATACCATTAAGATTAAGGCCTCACCCCTGAAGGTGTGTGACCGCATTTATGCTTACTGTGCTAGCTTTTGGATTCCCGTAACCACTTCAAAAAATTGGACCGTCAGCTCGTTTACCAATTTTTGAATATAGTATAGTATAATAGTAAATATAATAGTAAAAAACTGCTATGTCCATTGAGGCTTTTAGACATAAAAGCCTAAGCTTCAAAAAATTAAAGAACAAAATAGGTAAGTATATACATACGTACTGCGTGCGATGGAATTTAATTTTTTTTTATTTGATTCTAGCCACCGCCACTTGTATCAATAATTCAATAAAGGTATTGTCTATGTTACAATTTACTTTTAATATTTAATAGCAAATATGCGATATATTAAATCAACAACACAAATTGTTCGCGCGAATCAATTTTACTGTGTTTTACGGAAGTGCAAGCAGAGTGAAATGACAGTACGTAGAAAACAAACAGACATTTATTCTTAAATTGATAGATGTATTTAAAAAAAAACACAATTAAAATAACCTTTTTTATCAAACACCATATCAAGTGAAAGGCACGGTTGAAACCAGTTTGTGGAGAAGTTGTACATACTTAGCATTATGTACCTATAATATGTAGTTGCTAGTTGTGTATCCGCACGAGTCTCGGCGACCTGTTCTAATTTAGGCCTGCGGATGCATTAAACTCTTTAACTAGGCCGAAAGGCGAAAGACCGGAACATTCTCGTGCATTGACCAAACCGGTCTTGGAAAACCCTTAAGTGCTCAAGCTAAATGAAAAATACCACTTGATACCAGATTATTTAAGTTCTTTGGCCCCGTTCGGGTCTCGGACAAGAATTTTGTTTGCCTACCTATTGTTCGTAACCTCAAGAGGTCATGTTATCTTCACCGAAGGTGTAGGCGAGCACACAGGGCTCAAGCCTGAGAGGCTTTTCTAACATGTGCTTTAGCAAGAGCAGTGCTTCGCTGAATCTACCACCGGATTGGAATTGCGACCCACTGAGAAGACCCGGCGAGAATCTCAATGGGCTATGTCCGTGGTTTAAGTTACGTATCGAACCCTTCGATTCATCGATTTGACGGGTTCAACGAGGACGGTGGCCAAAGCACCAAGAGTAAATATATCGGGCGGACCTAAAATTATGTCTTTAAGGAGACGGCGACTTTTAATAGCATTACACTTGCAAAAATCATGATCGGTTTTTTTCCTCTGTTCTAGCTTCTTTTTTTTATTGCTTAGATGGGTGAACGACCTCACAGCCCACCTGATGTTATGTGGTTACTGGAGTACATAGACATTTACAACATAAATACGTTACCCACCTTGAGATATAAGTTCTAAGGTCTCACGTATAGTTACAACGGCTGCCCCACCCTTCAAACCGAAACGCATTACTGCTTCACGGCAGAAATAGGCGGGGTGGTGCTACCTACCCGTGCGGACTCACAAGAGGCCCTACCACCAGTAATATATCAGCTCATATCAGATCTATCTCTGAATGTTTTATTGTGCGAATTACTCAAAACAACCTAACCCATACATCAGCCCGCTGAGTTTCTCGCCGGATCTTCTCAGCGGGTCGTGATGCCGATCTGGTAGTAGATTCATTGGCGAAGCAGTTACTCTTGCATGGTTAAATCTCATGCGGCGCTTAGGCAGCTGTTAGCAAGTCCCATCCCTCCAGGCTGAGCCTTTACTCGCCCACCTGTCCTGGTTTAACTGGAAAAGCCTTCGAGCCACCAGTAGTCCTTCTTTCGTAAAATAAAAAAAAAATTAAACAGCTTATCACAATTTATACACGTGTAGTTGAACGGCTTACGTAATCAAACAATGAATTAATAACAAACACTACGGACAACTTTTGATAGTTTCTGTTTATTATTATGTTGCGTTACGTTTATTATATGATTAACATTAATTTAGTAAATTGTTAACATAATTTGTAAGTATTACAAAATTTAACACCAACTGATCAGTCCCGTATGGTCTAGTGGCTAGGATACCTGGCTTTCACCCAGGAGGCTCGGGTTCGATTCCCGGTACGGGAAACCTTTTTTGGGTTTCCACCAGAAATTTACTAATCCCTATTTTTATTCTTTTAGCTAAGTATTGAAAATTTTACTTAAATTTAAGCAAAATATTTAACAGATTGAAATAAAAATACGTATTCAATTAATGACTCATTCGACTTAGCATATAGAGTTGGAGGTGGGATATGCATTTATTTTTTGTGTTTGTGACTTGCAGGTAAGATTTGGGTTTTGTATTGAATATCTAAGTAACTTTTTCTATTTTTACACGGCTGCTCGAAAATGGAGTGTAATTATTTTACTGAATTTGTGTATTCCACTATAGCTTTTAAATACCTGAACAGATTTGATTTTATGTCTTATTGTGGTTCTTGCATCGTTCTTACTGATCATAGTTTATTACTTTTTATTTGTTTTTTGGTCAGACGTGTTTACATATTACTTGGAACAACCTACTTACATTCTGAACTAATTTTAAATAAAATAATGTTGAATGTATTAAATGTATGTTACATTCATAAATTAATTTGATGAAAGCAGGTCGTTACAGAAAGCTGTCGGTTCTAGTTTGTCTACCACTAGTTTACAACTAGAAAGCTAGATTAGCTGTCTATGTGAGATTGAAAATATTTAAATTTCTAATAAATGTATATATAAATATTTGTGAATGCACGTTTGTTACAACTTAGACATAAGGATCTCTCTTCCTCTCTTCAATCGGTCCCTCATTGCTGAGGATCGTGACTCCGTTCGATTCCGTCAACCAGCTATCTCCATCGATACCGTTCTGTAGCTTGGTGGAGTGCGTCGCTGACAGGTATTTTAAGTTCCTCCGCTTTTTGGTCCGACTATCGTTTGGAGTGACCAAGTATCCGAGTGTCTGGACATACACTTCACTGTGCCACTGACCGACAAAAGTGGCTACAAACTACAAAAAAAGGTCACAGGCGGGCGTATCACGATGCTCAGCAATGAGCAATCGACTGAAGGAGGAGGAGGATCGTTTGGGACCTCTACCCTTAGGCCTTTTTCCCTCGATTTTACCGGTCTTCACAAGGCGTTCCAAATTGCTGGTATCCCTGCGAGCAACATGACCAAAATACCGCAATATTATTTGTAGCCAGGTTGTGGATAGACGTTGGGTCTTTTCTATTTTTAACTGCTTGAGAATAGAGATGTTGGTGCTGCGGGCCGTCCATGGTATTCGTAGCATACGTCGTCAGCATCACAACTCAAAAGCGTCGATTCTCTGACATAGAGATAGAAATACTTAAAATAGTGTGAAAGAGATAAAAGACCATAAAGCAAACTTAGAGATACTTTGGCTAAAAATTGTAATCTCGTCATTTCATGTAAACAGCTTATGTTTATTTGCCAGTATGCCGGAGCATTTTATTCGGGAACCACTGCTGGCTTCAAGACATGCGATATGGCATATTTACAGAATACTTTACGAAACATTAAAAATATGTAAATAATTTTACATAAATTTATAGTGCAGAATATTTTATATTAAAATTCATATCAGTAATCCGTTATAGCCAAACCTCTTCATAGTCTATAGGTACGTGCTTTCTACTTCTCAATAAATCCCTCAAAGCAGCTTTTTCTGACCCGTTGTGAAGTCCTGTTACTGATAATGTAGGGGCGAATAGCGGGACTCACATCCCACTACGTCTAGAATCACCTTCCACGATAGTTATGCACAGCTCTATCTACTTATCTTAGGAATCGAATTATTGGCGGCAATTATAAAATCCGATATGACAGTTACGGCGATCTAGATATTATAAATACAAAAAGCGCTTGAACATACTTTCAAATAATCGTAACTAATTCTTGTGTATGTTATTTCAAAATATGTCCAAAAGTTCTAGAAAATTTTTGTAAGTTCGGTTTAATGTTTGTTTCTGGAATTCATCGTGCGGATGTACTTGTGGATGATACAACTTCTCCAGTCGAGAATAAAAAATATTTTTTTTATTTTTAAAACGATTGAGAGCTTTTGCATTTTTCAAAGTTTCAGTCTAAGTTTTCAAAGTTCTTGTAAAATGGGGAATTTTGTTTTTCAATATATTTCTTTAATTCTCACAGGACCCTAATCTGGAAATGGAAAACAGAGACAAGAGCTATTGAAAATGAGTCTTTCAAATAACTACATCCAAATAGCACGCAGCTATTTACTTCTTACTTTATTATGAAAATGAATTAGTCAATTTAAATTGAATTAATTTTCTAGCTAGATAATAGTTTTATCATCTATGCTTGTTGATATTGTTTTGCTGGAGCTGGTTATTTCTGCGGCGAACCAGTTTGCGTTCTGGGTTGGAATGATAAGATATGTACGAGTAAGTATACGCGTCTATGGAACTTGGTAATTACCCAAAATCTGGCAGCCGCTGGGCTTATCCATTAATCTTCTTCTCATAGCGGCGTCTCTTATCAGAGGTCGGTAGCCATTAAGACTATTAGATATTATTTTCACTTGTATACTGCAGCAAAAATTACCTCGGTAGACATCGTACGTTATATCGTAAAAACTTTAAGTCTGACAAGAAATCGAAGGCGGGTCCATAGTACAGTAATACATCAATTCCGTTGTTTTTATTTAAAAGTAGTGTAACCTCATCGTAACTACAAAAAAATATATACTCGTTTTGTATAAATATCATCCCCATAAAGGAACTTTGGGGATGGTGTAGAAAAAAATTACGTAGTGCACCTCAAAAAAAATGAAAGTTTTATTTTTTATTGCCTAGATGTGTGGACGACCTCACAGCCCACCTGGTGTTAAGTGGTTACTGGAGCCCATAGACATCTACAACGTAAATGCGCCACACACCTTGAGATATAGTTCTAAGGTCTCAGTATAGTCACAACGGCTGCCCCACCCTTCAAACCGAAACGCATTACTGCTTCACGGCAGAAATAGGCGGGGCGGTGGTACCTACCCGTGCGGACTCACAAGAGGTCCTACCACCACCAGAAAGTACAAAAGTACTAGTTTTTTTTCCACAAACAAATACTATCTTGATGAGAGTGTATTAGAAGCATATTTATTTGATATATTTCCATCAGTTTACCACGTAAGCAGGTTTTATGATTATCAGTTTAACAAATTAGCTCAGAACTACTGACGCAATTAGATTAAAACCTCAATTGATTGTAAATTTTTGGCTGCTTGTAAAAATAGCATCAACGATCTCAAATATAATGGAGGTTTGTAAATCTAAGCTTTCGGTCGTTATTGCAAAATATTCGAGAGAGAGTTATATTTTAGAAGTATATCTCACTGTTTGCTGACAACGAAGAAATTGTATTCAAATCATGTTACTATCCACGTAGATGTAAGCTTGGTTTGGTTAAATAATGCTTTACAAACAACCAATCTAAAAAAAAGAAGACCAATAAACCTACACCTCTTTTTTTTTTTTCTTTTTTTATTGCCTTTGCAGGCAGACGAGCATACGGCCCACCTGATGGTAAGTGTTCACCGTCGCTCATGGACGTCAGCAATGCCAGGGGTAGAGCCAAGCCGCTGCCTACCATAAAGTACTCTCTCCGCAAGCCTCGTTTGAAGAAGGACATGTCATAGCGCTCGGAAAAAACTTACTAGGAAAATAATGAAATTACGAATGCTGCGCTTTTATTTGAAATAAAACATGTGTCAAATGCCAATAAACAATAAAAGCGTCACTTTGTTGATAAGAAACAATTATATATTTTTATTTTATTTTATTTTAGTATAGTACCTAATACTCGTATAGTAGTTTATATTATAAATATCAATAATTTCAAATTTATGTCGCACATAACTATTAATATATATATTTAATATCATTAAGACGTGATATCGGTTTGGTTTGCAAACTTTGCAGGTCATCGGGTCAATGGCCAACCCAGTGCCTCTGTTGTGCGAATCTCTAGTTATTTTATTGCTTATTTAATTTTATTATTTTTATTATAGTAATGAATTGACAATGTTGCAACAAAAATGTAGATACAACTTTACTGACAATCATTTATTGAAAAAATTACAATTGAATAGCATACACTATTATATTGGCTATACCCAGATTCAGCTTGTAACGGTGAACTTCCCGGGAAAAGTCTTGCATTTTATTAAACTTATAAAGCTTTTCTATAGCTTCAATTCCAGTTTAGCAACTTGAGAATTGCGGTTAATCGGAACCGATGTAGCTGTTGTAGCTGGATGTACCGCTATCTGGGCGAATAAATAAAAGATGCAACGGAGAGCGAGTACATAGCGGACCCCAAGTCGGCGGGCGTGAGTCAGTGCGTCAGCAGACACCTTTCGCGATGGTCAACTATCGACGAGTAGTGTATGAGGTAGCGGCGTTGGGCGCGTTATTGGCGCTCGCTGCGGCAGCTCCACTTAATTCTGACTGTAAGGAAGAATACAATCAGAGTCAGAATGGAACGGAAAATTTTCGGGTTCACGTAAACGGGCTAGTCATCGCCATGATGCCGGCCGAGTCGTTTGCCGAATCATTGTTGTCGGCGATGCCCGACTTAGAAGAGCTGTTGGAGTCTGAAGGGATTAATCAGTTGCAACAACAAAAGCCGAAACCTCCGATGGTCACCTCTCCGCCTAAGCCTGAAGAAAAACCTCAAACGGAGTCCGAAGTTTTGGCCACATCTGAAAATCCAAAGCCTACAGAATCGGCGGCGCCTTTGAGCGATGTCTCCATAAAATCAGATACACCACACAATAAAGAAGCGTCCGTAAATAAACAAAAACGACCACAAAGGTATGTTGGAGTCATGACTAAAGTAGAAAAAAATATTAAGTTTGTTTTATTAACTTGATAAAGTTATTGAAACGTAAATTATTTAATGTCCTGGAATAACTCAACGTTATTTAAAAATTTCGTCTCTAAATACCTATCTAATACACTAAAGTAATTCTTTTTTATTGTTAACAGGCTGAAATCAATGCTGGCTAGTTTGTTGCTGCCCCTGATGCGTAAGAACAGACATCACTAAAGAAAAACAATGTTGCTAAGGCAACTATCGCTACACAAATCACTGGAGGAAGATTTAGGAAGTGATACAGAATGCATTTATTAGCAATAAGTTAACATAAGATATTATATGATTGTTTCGTTGAAAATAAATATTCATTCGTATTTAAAAATCCTAACTTTTGGTATTTATTTTGTCACGTAAAAACCTTTTATTTCCAATCCCATAGAAAAAATGGCATAATTAAATAAGATGATATATTAAGTAATTATTAGAATGGAACTATTTTAGCTTGTATCTGTCGATATGTGTCCTTTTATCTTGATTTTAGGAATAGTTAAATTTAGGTAATGGGAAATACACAAATTTTGTTTAGTACATCCCCATTTATTAATAAGTGTAAACAGGCATTCGTGTAACTAGCATTGCATGCAAATTAATCGAAAATAATTAATTAACTAATTCTATATGATGCTGCCCGAAAATCATTTATTAAGAGACAAAACACGCCTCTGTGATGGTGATCAAATAAAGCGTGGGATTGTTAAAGTTTGTAGAACTCTATGGTGTAGCTAACGCGCCGACTTCGCGTGGAAAAATGTTTTAGAATCTGGTATCAATTAAATACTCGGTATTTTTCATTATGTGCGATTCACAGATGATCTCACGGCTCGCCTTATATCAAAGTAATTGGAGCCTTGCCCACTTTGAGAAATGAGATTGTAGTTTCACCTAGGAGCAGGACCCAGAATCATTAGGACTTTATAGATAGGTCATCATCATTATCCTGCCCTTCTCCCAACATCCATTTCTTCTTAGGTCTACCTCTTCCTCTATATCCTTCCACATTCCTATTTAACATTCTCTTACCAACCTCATTTGCATTTCATCTCATCACATGTACACACCACCCCAAACGCGCATTTCTCAGCTTCTCTGTCACAGGTGCCGCTTTCAGATTTCTTCTAACATTCATTCCGTATTCTATCCATTCTCGTTACTCCACACATTCATCGCAACATTCGCATCTCTGCTGCATGCAATCGCCTTTAAGACTTTATAGGTTTTTTGTAGGTTTATAGGTTTTTTAGGACTTTATAGATAGGTGACGTCGTTAATTTTCCCTACCTATTCGCTGATAGACCAAATTGTTCTACCAGCTACGCCCGGATAGGTAAGTGAGCTCACGGGCTCAATCGGAGAAAGTTTGCTAACACTAGCCCTGGAAAGAGCAGTGTTCGCAGAGCAGAATCGCGACCTACTGAGCAACTCAATGGGCTGTGTCTATGTGTGGGTAAAGTCAATACACTCCACAACATCACTCAACACGGATTCATAGACAAATAGAATCTATGACTTAATCATAAATCATTGTTAGTATTTATTTATTTACACTTCTTCATAGATAACATTTTTACAAAAGACATGTAACAGAAACAAATAATCAAACGCTAGTCAGTAGGTACAATGGGATGAGTATACTCTTAAAAATATGTACTAGCATATAGTATAATGTAATGTACATTTATTGTTTATTTTGTACAATGATAGATAACATATTAAGTAAAATAAACAATAAACATCAGAGATTCTCCAGTAAACAAAACTAAAACCAAAATTACAGTGACAGACCGCGACACACTGCTTATTCCTGGTAGATTGAATCTACAGAATCATGATGATTTTATTTATCTTGATTCCAGCATCGACAAGAATGTTTGCTGAACAATTCGAGAAGACCGATCAGGATCGTTTTGGGCCTCCGAGCCTTATCTCGATGAGGTATGTACTTGTGTAGGAATAGGAATAAATTTGAAAACCAAACCGAGACTAGTGAGTTTTTTTTTATTTATTTTTTATTGCCCTTGTAGGCAGACGAGCATACAGCCCAACTGATGGTGAGTGGTTACCGTCGCCCATGGACTTCAGCAATGCCAGGGGCAGAGCCAAGCCGATGCCTACCAAAAGTACTCTTGTCTTTACGATTTTTCCTTTATGTGACGGAACCGCTTGATGTTTGTTATTTATTTATTACTTAGATGGCAGAGCGAGTTCCCACATAGTGAGAGGAATTATTGAGAGATGGGAGTAATGATCATATCAGATTTTAACACATATTTGTTCAAGGGAAAATGGTTTCATCAAACAGTCACGAACACGTTAATAGATGCCAGCGAAAAACTATAGTATAATATGTAAACGAAAAATTTCGGCAAACATACCTAATGCTATTTGTAATTACAATGTTAACAGTAATAATTAATGTGATTATGAATATGTAAATATTAAATGCTAATTATAGGAATGTATATATGAAACACGTTCTGTTCTTATATGAAACTCGGTTATCGTATCGATGACCCGAGGACTGTCAGATGTCGCATCGGGGTTTAGCTCCATCGTCATACACGATACGGACATGTATGTTTGGATTGTAATTGGAATCTGGAACCAAAAAAGAATACGTTTTTCTAAATAAAAGTCGAAATCATTCCGATCACATGGGTCCCAAGTTACTTGTTTAATAATGAAGGCTATAAAAAGATTTATGTTTTGACACATAGCCTCTAGTGATCAATTGTTGCTCTCTTACAAGATTCTCACGCTCTATCAACTCACGCGATCAGGTCAAGTCCAGCCATCATCATTAAGAAAATTTCTCTATCCTTTCACTCTCAAAGATGACAGTGAAAGACCGAAACAAAAGAGACTTGTTATTGTCTCGAAGCTGCATATGAAATGATGGAAATACGAGAGGCGATCCAATAGGTATCCGTGTCGTGTTAACCGTTACAGTGTGCTCGATTTGTGTGTCCGGACTGGTTCGTGGATGGCCTGTAAAAGCGGCGTCAGAGCAGGCGGGCCGCAGTTAGCGCTTACGAGATCTACCAGGCGCACGCATCATGTATCTGCTGGTGTTATTGTTCGCGTCGGCCGTCGCCGCTCCGCACTACTACAGTCAAACGCAAACAGGAGATTTAAACGTTCGGGCCGACTTCGAGAATATTGTGTTTCTAATCGCAATCCCGCAGAGGACGAGTTTATCATTAGATCTCTTAGAAGATTTGATGTTAAAGAAAAACAAAGGCAGCGACAATCAGTTACAGAACAGAGCCGATGTCCAAGTAATGGAAGCGTTCGTCGAACCAAACACCCCGTACAAAGTTGAGATCGGTACCGATAAGAAAAGCTTTGGAGGTGATTCTCGTGCCGTTGAAGTCGTCATTTCTGGTCGAAGGCGTCTCGATGCAGACGCTTTGGCTGATGAGCGAGATGAGCTAAAACTTCTTGGTGCTACAGAACAGTGTGGACCAGGTCGGGAGCGGGACCCTGACACTCTCGGCTGTCGAGCTAGTGCAGTCACGGAATCGAACGAATCCCTACAATCCGAACTAGACGAAAAGAACGAAAAAATTAATTCAGAACCCGTTCCAGAAGTGGTTTCTACATAATTTTGAGATTTCTAAATCTTTCTTAAGTTATGCCATTTTAGTCTTCAATACCTTATTTAAAAAAAATGTAAATTATTTTATTGAAATATAAACATAAGTTATCTTGTTATATAATTTTATTTTATTTTACTATTTGCGTTTTATAACGTCTAAAATATTTTTTTATAAATTCCGTGTACCCGATTTTATACAAGTAAAAAACATTGTCTATTCGAAAAAAGCTGTTTAGTACACGGAAAATTGAACAAGCATTGTGACATGGTACATATTGTTGATGTTGTCGGCAGCGAAAGAGGTCCATCCTAAAATGTTTTTAACCATGAGATCGTGTGTGTGTTTTTAAATATTTCCAATTTCTTTCCACCATACAACGATAACCCAATCCTAACTCAAACCCAAAATTTTCTTCATTTCTTTCAAGTTCGTGTCGTCATGACGTAGAGAAATATACCTTATGCTGTATGCAACGTATCATCTATCGTTAAACATTTTATAGGTATAGTCGTTTTTATCAAATACGGTTCACAGTCCACCTATTGTTAAGCGGTTACCGAACTGCACACACATCGATGCAACGATGCCATCCATCTCGAGACAATGTCACCTCGAAGTCGAAATTAGGTATATTGACTTTCTTTTAAATATGTATAAAACGTAAATAAATTAGTTAAACAGACTTTATCTCACTGAAATTAAGATCGAAATTATTTTTGCCTCGGTTCCCTGTTTGACCTTGATTATTTTTTGTTTATAGAGTGTAACTTCTAAATATCTTTTAGATAGTCCATGTCTTGTACCAGAATAGAAAGTAATGGATCGTACTAAATCTAAGTATTCGTTTCTTTGACATTCGGCTACGAAGCCCTAAAACATTTTATTTCACAATGAAACTTACGATTTTTACTAAACCATGGTGATCATGTTTAAATTGATGGTGATTTTATTCTTCTATGAACTAGACACAGGTTGATTTACATCTAGAGTTCAAACTGTTTAAATGCTAATAGACATACCTGCGAGTAAATACTCATTGCTTATAGTAAAGCTTGAAAACAACGATATTTATTAATGCCGTTGTAGACAGAAGAGCATACAGCCCACCTGTTGTAAGTCGTCATAATCGCTCGTCTCAAACTCTCTCCACCACCGCAGCTCTCTTTTGTATGTAATCAAATGGGGGTAGCTTGTATCTGGGCGCCCCAGCACGTAGACGGGATTAGTGCTCTACGCGAGGCCGGACTTGTACTTTGCGAAGCACAAGTCTGTGTCCAGACGTGGAGTACCGTTTCGCTCTGTCAAAGACTCCCAGCATTTTATAATCCAACTCAGGTTTATTGAAAACCGCTCGAAAAAACGAATTTGATATCAAAAAATCATTACATGGGATGATTTGCAATAAGGTTCAGTAATAAATTAACTGTACATTTTCACACTATGGTTAAATTGAGACGACGAGCACCTTCAAGCATAATTTACCGTTCAGCATAGAGAACAAAGGGACAACGAGGACCCTACCTCGCTAGGTTGTAACAGTCGATAGGATCATTTAAAATTACCGGGTTCAGTTAATAATCAGAATATCGATTCCACCTCTTTGAATCACAGTTACCTCTTTCTTCCATAATATCACCTATTTGTCTGCCTTACCCCTAGATCCTATCTTGACTGGCGGCAGCAACCCGCACAGGGTATTCACTATTTTAGACACAAAACAACACAGATTAGGCTTCCTTAAGTAGAGAACATTTTCGATAATTAAAACTTGAAACTTGTCTCAAGGGAGGCGCTTGGTAATTAAGGGCTTGGATAATCGTTTAATCAAATCAAAAAATCATGTTACAAAATTGTTAGACAAGGATTTTTTATTGCCTTTGTAGGCAGACGAGCATACGGCCCACCTAATGGTGAGTGATTACCGTCGCCCATGGAATTCAGCAATACCAGGGGTAGAGCCAAGCCGCTGCCTACCGCAAAGGATTCTGTTAGTGAACAATTGAATAGAGAGACCACAACAACAAAAAGCTATCTGTAAATTTCCGAGTAAGTCAGTTCAGAGGAAGTCAGTATAGAAAGTCAATTCAGAAAATCGGCTTACTTAAACGTTAAGAAAATTCATTCGAGAAGCTATGTTTACGTTTTAAATAATTAACATTTTAATATCGATTATTATGTAATATTAAAATTGTACATTTTAAGTACATGTAAATCTAAGCTCGTTGAATTTTTAATCGAAATATTAAGTGTTCAGGTCAAATATTTACAGGAGGTGGGGTCAAGTACTTCGAAGGGAAATGTTTGAACCAGCCAATGACTGGATCAAAGGCAACTTGCGTGATATAGATTTTAGAACTCCTAGTATGACCGATATTCATGGATAGTTTATTAATTTACCCATTAAGTAGCTATTATATTTACAAACAATTTAACAACAAAGTTGTTAAGAAATACGTATTTAATATTTAAAATTTGTTTGAGTTATCAGCTCGTATCATAAGATAGATAGATAATAATAGATAATATATAAATACAAGGTCAAACAATTTTATCTCTCATCAACCGAATGATCATGGTTCTATACTCTTCGCATATACGAGTGTTACTGTGTTACTTATAATATTTGCTATGTGTATGTGCTATAATTCTCATGTTGTATTTGTTATTTTGGTTATGTGTTATTTGTTCTACACACACTTATCACTCTTTATTATTATTCTCATTATCCTCTCGCAGGTCTGCTGGAAGAGATTTCTCAAAGAAATAAGCAGTGCCTTTGTACATAATTTTCCTATTACTCTGTACTGTGTCTTGTTTTCTGTGTGTACATAAATAAATAAATAAATAATATTTCATAATTATTTTCAAATGAGAATTTCGAAATGACGTTGTTGTTTTAAAGAACAAAATTATCACGATTTTATTAATAGATAAGCTGGCCATATGACATATCGTTCAAGTTCATCAAAATGAATTAAAATTTGTGCATCTCACGCTTAATTTGTTTGATTTCGGAAAGCAAAAAAAGGAGGAACTAGGGTACCTACTTACGTTTTGAAACTGAAAAATGAACTGAAAATAAATTCGTATTTTAACAAAATCGTCTTAAAATCGAACATGCAATGATATACTGATACAGAATGACAATGAAAGTTAAAAAAAATGAGATCCGATATTTGTAATTTTGAATAAAAAATTGAACGAATTTTTCAAAAATCTTAGAGAATATTTCTTTAAAATGATATAACTATAATTATTATTTTTTTTCACATTCAAAATAATAAAATAATATAGTTATATAAATAATAATTCATAATAATAATAATAATTCTGAATACTTCGGGTTCGACCTCTTCTCTTCTAGTCGCACACTTTCATTGGTGAAGATCGCGTCCTTGAAAGGCCTTCGTGGCCCTTTGCGTGGGTGGCGCATTTACGTTGTAGATGTTTATGGGCTCCAGTAACCACTTAACATCAGGTGGGCTGTGAGCTCGTCCATCCATCTAAGCAATAAAAAATAAATAAAAAAAATCATCATCCATTTCAACATTCATTCCATTCACATCATTCCATTTCAACAAATTATTATTAAAAACTCTTTTACGCTTTCATCTCGCATATAATTTTACGTCACGGTCTCGGACGAATTATAGTTTTTTTTTAAACTCCGTTAGACCCATACTTACGCTCATTACGCTCTGCACAGGTTATATAACAGATAAAGTAGTGCTGATTAGTGTTTCCTAATTCAAAGGGAACATTTCGCCGACTATGAGTTTTGAGTTCATTGATAAGTGCAGTAGTTCCAAAGGGTAAAAATGAACTATGCGCCGCGCCGGTGCCTGATAGTGCGATGATAATACTCTGAGAAGGGAAAAAAACTCTTTCCTATCTACTCGGAGATTCCAAACGATTGAGACGAGATGATAGTGCTTACTTGTGCTTGTCGGTTAATCATTATTAGAATGAGTTCTTTTGTGTATTTTTTTCGATTATTGAAAACCAGTGTCATCATTTGTCAAATAATTTCTTTCCCTAAATGATTGGCTGGCCGAAATTGCTCTTGAACGATAAGGTTGCTTATTGTCAAACAAACAATTATATTTCATATTTGTCGTAAGTATTGAAATAGGTAATTTAATATATAGTCCATTAAATTCGACCAGCTTATTAGTCCGAGTGCCCATTTTTGTGGAAAGAAATGCAACGTCCTTTTCAATAATAGTTCAGTATTAGTCGTGATTTTCTCACAATTTTTTTTATTACGACTGAAATCTTCTGTAACTAAATATAACGTTGATAAAATATATTGATTTCTGTAGTCAGTTTAATAATTACCAATTATATGATTTACTCCTAGGAAAAACAGCAGAGCAATATCATAACTAGCAAATTACTGCATATTGCTAAGATTTACGGCGTGTTTTCCTCTCACAGATACAGGTATACGTTTGAGCGTATTACATTTATTTTCGAGTTCGTATATTAAAAAAATATGTTGTAAAAATTAGAGGCCCAAGTTCAGAACGGATGGCTACGGAATGAATATGATAATGACGATGAAAATAAATAAAGACGATTGTGCTAAGCGATATGATGAGTACGTCCAACATTGAGTAACGTGTTATGTTTAGAATTTCTTATCAATTATTATAGTAGTTAAAGATACCAACAATTCTGAATATAGCTTATATTTCTTGCAACATACTGAAGCTATTTTACAACCACATAGTAGAACTTACTACTGGTCGATTCATCTTTCACCTATTGGATATCCAGGGTATTATAAATAAAATGCAAAAGAAGTGGTGCCTATGCTACTATACCCTTATTTTTCGTACCGGGGTCCGAGCTTTCTACGAGATCCTCGCGCCTACGGGGTTCGCGGGGTATGAAGAACTAGTTCGCAAGAGCGAACCGCGGGCCCAAGGATACGAAATTTAGGACCCACTAAACGGCTCCCCTGCACTCTCGCCCACACGTCCGATCCCCCCCGAGGTGAGAACCCGAGTGAGGTAAGGGAGTTACCGCGGTCAAGACTACAACCAAACCCCAGCTCACCCCAAGGATGCCCGGCCGACGGAGCTATCGAGGCGAATCGAAGGCTCTGAAACGTCGGCCGTCGGTACGGCAGCCCGTCAGGCGGCCCAGACGGTGCCGCTGGTGTCCCGGAATACCCCGCTGGACTCTGGTCCGACAGAGGTCCTCTCCTATGACGGCGAAGAGGGCGGCGCGTTGCTCGTCGAATCTAGAACCTGCATACTATACACGCACTAAGCCTTTTTTCTGAGTTGGTAATATTTTAACATTAAAATTTGATAAAATGCTATCGGTTTGTGAATTGGCAAGAATTTGAGGGAGCATCTCGGATCCCCAGAGTATTGATTTTTGTATTTTTAATTACTGACATGACCTACTAGCATTTGTTTATGATGGAAGGATTACTGATGGCTCGAAGGCCTTTCCAGTTTCACCAGGAGAGGTGGGCGAGCAAAGGCTCAGGCTCAGGAGTGGGATTTACTAACAGCTGCCCGAGCGCTTCCGAAGGAGACCTAACAACTCAAGAGCAACTGCTTCGCGAATAAGTCTACTACCGGATGGGAATCGCGACCCGCTGAGAAGATCCGGCGAGAAACTCAGCGAGCTGATTCATGGTTTAGGTTGCACGTCGAACTCTTTGTCGAGTTCGACGAGTACGGTTACCGAGGTCTCTAAGCCTGCTCCTAGTGTTAGAGCTGAAGGCGTCTAATGCAAAGGTTATTCGATCTGATGGATCCGTAAGGATGTGTCTAGGGCGTCGACCGTGTCTGGCTCCTGCGTGATCAGGATTCGGGGAGTAGTCAGCAGCGGCAACGATAAAGCGATTATCATGAGGCATAGCCTTATCGAAGTACCGTGCCGACGCTGACTTCATGTATTTCTGGATTGATTCGTGGCCCAGGTCGTCGTGTAGGTCAACGTTCCTCACGAACCAAGGAGATCCGACTGGAGGGTGTCTATGTGTGTGCGGGCCGCGTGAGCGAACACCACACTCGCGTAAGTCATGACGGTCCTTATGAAAGTTTTGTAAAGTGGCACCTTGTTCCGAAGGGACATTTTACTCCGCTTACAGATCATGGCGTAGAGTCTACCGAGAATAAACGCGGCATAGTCGCAGACTGATTTTATATCTGGGCGGAATGTCATCGATGCATCCAGGGTAACGCCCAGGTACTTGACCTTCCTGGCCCAGGGTATGTATATCTAAAGAGAGTAATTGGGGTGTGAGATTCCTCCTCGTGATCCGGGAGGAAATCCGTGTGGAGCTTCCCCTCTGAAATAGCACCGCAGTACTTTTCGCGACCTACTAGCTGTTAAGTGATATGATATAGGGGAACCTTAAACATCACAATGACAAAATTGCCACCCATCTGATAATATGAGATTGAATTGTCGATTGTGTTTACCAGCTGTTCCTGTCAATGCAGGACCTTTGCGGCCATCTACCGACGATAATTGCTTCGTTGCAGAAATAGGCAGGATGGTCGTACCTCTGCGCCCGGATCAAAAATAGTCCTTCCATCAGTTTTATGCAAATTTATAAAGGTTTGCTTTGGTTTACAGGGTGTTGTTTATCGCAGTGCTCTGTTTTGAACACGTATCTCCTTAGAATTGAAATTGGTTCCCAGGGGTTGAATTCCAGTATAGTCAGATCTCTCAATACACCGAGCACCATATACTTTAGGCCACATCGACTTCGCCTAATAATCGTGAAGTCAGAAATCGATATGCGATCGGGTGTACTCGCAATTATAAGATAAAAAACTAAGCCCATAAAATGTTCCCGTTTAAAATATTCAAAGTATATATTTCGTTTTAATGTTGTATTGGAAATAGAAATAAGGACATATCGATTCTACGCAGTTTGTGATAATTAAATTAATATCTACCATTTATTACTTTTAAGTACAGTCAGAAAGAAACGTAGTTTATATATTGCTGGTGTAAAATAAAATTTGACTTAATTCAAATGACTAAACATTAATTATACCATTAGTTACATCTATGTTATAATATAGCGCTTCCCTGTAAATGAGTTGGAAGGATGGCTCAGTTAAGTCCACAAGTGCTTGACAGTTTAAAATCCAATGAATATAAAGCCTGTCGCTCCTGTAGGTTATAATAGAAATGTTCTTTCTCAATAAGAATAATTGAATAACAATACAATGTTCAATAACTAACAAAATACTCGTGTTGATGTATAAAACGTTAGCGTTTGACCAAGGATATTAGGTAAATTATGTCAAAGGCTTACGTTACTTTCACTTTAATATTTACTTAACTTAAGGAATGTTTTGAATTAAGTTGGAGAAAGTCGAGAAAGAAACGAACCGAAAACCAGTGTTCGACATAATAGAAACGATAAAATTATGCTTACTTCATAATTAAAGTTTTCATTGTAAAATGTATTTCACTTTGAACGTATCAGAGTACTCAGTGACCTCGTTTAAGACTTCTTGTTTCTTGTAGGTAAGTAAGTGGTTCAAATGAAATCATTGAACCATAACAATTACAGTATAATAATTTGATTGTTACAGTACTTAAATAATATAAAAGCGGAAATTGTTGTATGGTTTTTTTTCTCTCGATTTAGATATTGTTTTCTTTTTGTGTTGACGTTATCGAGCTGCAATGGTTGGGGAACTCGTTGGCAGTCTTGCATACTGACTCGAAACGTTACTGCGTGCGCGCGCACTTTCACTTCACGTACGCGTTTTTGTTTACTAAATTTAAATAAAAAACTAAAAAAATCAATCGAAATCTTTTGCGATGGATTTAAAAAATAACAATGTTCCTTTAGAAATAAACAATGTGGATCAAGAGCTTGCCAATAAAATTATGAAGCTGTTTACAGGTGAGCTTGTTCAAATCTTAATTTTCGATTTCTATTGCCCTCGATTGTGAATTAATTTGTTTTCGTCACGTATAAAATCAGATATATTTTTTAAGCATTTTATTAATTTTTTTCTCTTCTGTTCAACTGAACTGAATTTTATAAAACTTTATAAAATTAGATTTCATTTTAATATTATTTAAGTATATTATGTTTTGCAACACAAGATAGTTTTTCTGCCTGCTTACTGCATCTAGTCAATACGCATACAGCTTAATATTGTATTGCTTTAAGTTTATAAGTTATGGCGTAAATGTTCCCCTACCTATATTGTAATCTATTAATGCTATAAAACTAGCAAGCAATAAACACAGAGGAAGATTATCTGGATGAATGCGAATGCAGTGTTCACGTCAATATTTTGACTAGTTGATTAGCTGAATTTATTTTGAAATATGAAAAATAAGAGATTGTTAAATAGCTGGATTTGTCAGAATAATAATATCATATGGGTTTATTAATTAAGTATATATATACAACCGTCATTACCAAAGATGGACATCAGCGATGGGGCACAGCCAATGCACAGAGTACTGAAAATTAGGTGTTAAAATATAATAATAAGAATTTAATAAATTTAAAAATCTGCTTTACTAATGGAAGGGGTTATTATGAGTCTGCACGGATGGCGAACACATTCTGTCTATTTCCGCCGCGAAAGTCATGCGTTTCTATTTGAAGGGTTACATAATAAGAAAACATTACGTCGACCTCATGCCTCAAGGTGGGCGGAATTCGCGTTCTGAAATCTTATAGCCGATAAAAGGATCCACTAATCGCTTAGCACCAGTGTGCCTAGTGCGAGTTTTTTAACGTTCTCGATAGCGTAAAAACTAACTCAAATCTGTATGCAGTTAGAAAGTTTGCCTACATTTGCCGCTAGGGGCGCTGTTCCAACTGCTTACGAATTTAAAAAACTCGCAATAAGCACACAGGTAGGCCCCTAGCTCATGGAACTCGTCAGTCCATTTGGAAGCAATAAAAAACACATAATAAATGTATCGATCGATTTCAACTTACAAGTCACGATTCCAAAAACCGTTGAAAATGTCGACATCTAGTAAATCGAGTAAAAGTAAGTTATTTGATCAATGTCAAATGCTTAGGTACATACAAAATATAGTATAGCAAATTGTTACTGCAATGCACAATCTAATTGAAACGGTTAATCGAGAGAATGAGTCGCTAGAATTTCAAACATTTGTACTTTGAAGATATTTGCTTTTAAATAATATGCAAATGACAACGCAATTGTTTTAGTTTAATTAAGCAGGATGGCTACCACCGCCCCGCTCTTCTGAGCCGCGAAGCATTAGTGTGGTCAGGTTTGAAAGTTGGGACAGCCAGTCATATACACAATTGAGACTAAGACCTCATGTCTTAGGGTCTCAGCATTTAAACTGTGATGCCTACATGAGCCCCAATAACCAGTTAACATCAGATGGGCCGGAAGATCGTTCACTCAAATAAACAATTAAAAAATATATAGTTTATTATATAAAAAACTAAAAGTAGTGCAATGAAACGAATTTAATTAATGTAAAATTCTCATAAATTGGGATAAGATCGAATGAAATCGAATGGAATAAAACGTAATGAAATTAAATAATGTCCAAGAAAAATTATTGAAATTTATTGTACATGTAAAAAAAAAAACAGTCTGTTTCATTTTTGGACACTTGGGCACTTCTAAAACTGTTAAACTGTTACTCAAATCTGCTAAACTGTTACTGTTACTGAAGTCGTCGTGGTCTAAGGGATAAGACGTCCAGTCAATACCGTCTTTACCATAAGGGCACACGGGGCCCGTGCCCAGGGCCCCCATTCTCAGGGAGCCCCGAAAGACCGACCATTTCTCGCACACGTTTATTCTCAAAACATTTTTTTCGGGCACATTACACTTTTTTCACAAATCAGTAATCAGAAGGTATTTACAAGGCATATACTATGCCTACAATAGAAGATTTTGCTCAACAGAAATCCCGAAAGAAACCGTTATCGAAATCGTAACCAAAAAACCAGGACGTTTCTAATATAATTAATGACATATTATATCATACTGTATTTGATTACCTATAATAAATGGTCTCATACTCGGTAAAAAAATGTTATTATAATTCGCTTTTTTTACTTTCTAAAAGGGCCTCAAATTCTTGTGTGCCCAAGGGCCCCATCCTAGTTTAAGACGTCCCTGCGTCCAGTGCATTCGTGTTGAGCGATGCACCGGTGTTCGAATCTCAGGCGGGTACCAATTTTTGTAATGAAATACGTACTCAACAAATGTTCACGATTGACTTCCACGGTGAAAGAATAAAATCGTGTAATAAAAATAAAACCCGCAAAATTATAATTTGCGTAATTACTGGTGGTAGGACCTCTTGAAAGTCCGCGCGGGTAGGTACCACCACTCTGCCTATTTCTGCCGTGAAGCATTAATGCGTTTCGTTTTAAAGGGTGGGGTAGTCGTTGTAACTATACTTGAGAGTTTAGAACTTACATCTCAAGGTGGGTGGCGCATTTACGTTGTAGATGTCTATGGGCTCCAGTAACCACTTAACACCAGGTGGGCTGTGAGCTCGTCCACCCATCTAAGCAATAAAAAAAACTAATCTACTAAACTGTTACAAACCACAATTATTACACTTCCATTTTCTGAATATTTTTCCGCGAACCTGCACTCATGCGGTTTGCATGACGGACTAACTTTGTTTTAAAGTTTTAAGACAGCATTGACGCTTTGATTTCCTTAATTACATATTGACAGTTAATTGACACTGCACATATTAAATGCGATTGCAGTTGCAATTGCAACGTTATAACGGATATCCATCTGTCCTCTTTTCTAACAAACGCAGGACTTTTTCGCAACAGAAATAGGCTGTTTCTAAAAACGCGTATGGGCTCCTAACATGACATGAACAGTATAAATACTTAATTCTATGTTACTTAGATCTGCTCACTTCAATAATATGACCGGCCATCTTAATTTAAGTACTTACAATTAGGTTATTAAACTTGCCTGGAAACTGAGCGTGATAAAAAGACCATTTACGTTCGCAAATTCTTCACATAGTACAAAACGTAAGATTCTTTTTGGTCTGTTTGTAATTTCTACATACATATTTTAATATTTCCAAACAGACTTCAATGCTGTTTTACCAATAAATAAACAAAATTCAAAAGAGAATGTAAGTAAACAAAAAGACGGAGTAAAATTTTAATTTGTACCTTATTTGTTTTTTATGTTGAAAATTTATTTAATTATGTTATTCTTCCAATGCCACTGTGACTAGTACCTATAAACCCCGAAACCGAAATTAAAAACGGTGAGTTAAAAAATATGGAAACCCCCTATAAATGCTAATTAAGGCAGCACTCCACAAAGGAAGAGTTTGTAACTGTGGAGAGTGTGGGACCAGCTGATATGAATAACAAACTTCAGTGCCGTTACCATCTTTAACGGTGGTGGAACAATTGAAGAGATCGACAATGCGTGATTTCACTAAGTAATTGCTTAAAGATTTTGCAGTTAAAAAAAGAATAATATTACATTGGGTTTTTGCAAGACAAAGTACTACATGGGAAATTAAAATGGGGCAAAACAGTTCAAGCGAAGGCGGGGCCGGTATTATTAATTATGAAACAGATTCGATGAATTTGTGACCTAATGGACAAGGCGCTGGGTATAATCTTATAAAATCAGCCAGAAACCATTCACTGTCCTAATTTAAACTGCAAGCAGCATTCTTGTCTAAGTTAAACATGAATAGTTACTTGTATATTCAATAAATACAATAACAATATAACGTATAACTATAACCTTGAATACAATTAATAGAGCAATATGGATACAAAGGGTTCGGGTTTGTTGCTCCGGTAGAATAATGGCTTTTCCTAGTGATTTTTCCTACCAAACGTAATACTCGTATTGCAGTAACTTACGCAAGCTTTTTTAAAAATAAATCTCATATAATTTAACGGAATTTAACATAGTTTAGATTGTTTTATTAGTTTAGATTGTTCAAGTTATTTTTAATGCGGAAATTTGTTTACTTATTTATTTATTTTACAAGGTTTTCTGGTACCAGGAAATGAGTTTTCAATATAATTGTTAAGTCAAGGTCCACGTTAATAAACCAATCAGTATTACTAACTCTAAACTAAATAACACTTTTGTTAACAATAGAGACAACGAGCATACCATATCTCATAAAAATTCAAATGGGTTCATGAATATCCAAGAATCAATGGTGCGGGGTCAAAACAATTTGTGGAAAAGCATGGTGAATGAAGGCCGTAGTTCTAAGAAGTAGATATGAACTCTGTGCCAGTGATGGGCGGTGCGAGTGTAAAAAAAAGACGATTATGATCGTCTCCAAAAATCCTCATAGGTTCCTTTGAACTACACTTCTAGTGGGACAATCGCATAGAACGCACGGTACACAACGAAATCCATCAGACCATCTTATAATGCGGTTTCCTTCCTTCACCGAAGTGTAAAGAGCAAAAAGTCCTACTTGGATTCGAAAAAGGTTTTATTAGTCCAAGCTGCAGTCTTGTCTTTACAGCAGGCTTTTTTTAAAGCGCGAACGATCTCACATCCTGAGTAGTATGAAACGGCTACCGGAAAGCATAGATATGGAAAAGTCAATGCCTTCAGATATGAGGAGGAAGGTTCAATTATTTAATATTAGAGCGGTTGTTTCACTAACACTAACAATAATGAATGAGTGCTTTGCGTCAGAAATAGGCAGCATGGTGGTACTTACCCGTGCAACATTCAAATTTAATGAAATTCCATAAAGTCTTAATATATTTTTTCAGGTGAGCACACGGGCTTTGTTCGCGTTGGACCTAAAGGATATTTTTTCCCGCAAAAGTACACCGAAGAAGCAAGTAAAATCTACAATATGCCACTAAGGGATAGTGACGTCTTTGTAGCTAGTTATCCGAGATCGGGTAAATACCAAAACATTTTATGTGATACTTACTGGAAATCAGTTGGACTGACCCGATGGAGCAGTAGTTAGCGCGTCTGACTGTTGCGCCAAGGGTTGCGGGTTCGATTCCCACATCGGGCAAATATTTGCTTGATGAACAGATCTGTTTGCTCTTTGTCTGGGTGTTTATTATTTATATGTATAGATTTGTACGTATATAAGTATGTGCCATTCTCTGGTACACATAACACAGGAATCCTAATTTGGGGCAGGATGGCCGTGCGTGATTTGTCCCCAGTTATTTATTTATTTATTTAATTGGGATTCTATTATGATTTAAAAAAAAAACATTTATGCCGTACACCTGCTCGTGACTTTAATATTATTTTTTGCAACAAATTACGCAGGTACATGTTGCCAACCATGATCACTTGTGAATACACCCCACGTTACGTATATGATAGGAATTTAAAAAAAAACTTTTCCTAGCCTTAACTTAGAGAACTCTCGGGTAATACCACTATGCCACAAATGTAACAATTTACGATGTATTAATTTCAGGAACTACGTGGACTCAAGAACTAGTTTGGATGGTGGCTAATGACCTAGATTATGAAAAATCAGCTGCAGTGCCGCTTACCCAGAGATACCCATTTTTAGAGTAAGCGAAACATTTATTAAATAAGTTAAAACATATTAAACTCACATAATTAGAAAATTTTTATACACACCCAAATATTTGTAACCTTCTATTTAAAACTTTGAAGGTTTTCAATATGCGTCCATCCCGTCATGAAGAAAAAATTCACGGAAGAGAATAGTTACAGCGAGGACAAACTGAAGCTTTTAGAAGATGTTATCCAACCAGGGACTGATCAACTAGCTTCTATGCCTTCGCCTCGCTTCATAAAGACACATCTGCCACTATCTCTGTTACCTCCGGATCTGTTAGAAACAGCAAAGATGGTTTATGTGGCCCGGGACCCGAGGGATGTAGTGGTATCGTTCTATCACCTCAACAGATTGATCAGAACTCAAGGCTACATTGGAGATTTCAAAACTTATTGGCACTACTTTATTAATGATTTACGTGAGTATTAATTTTTTCGATGGTGTCATTAAAGGATTAACCCATCAATTTNAGAACTCAAGGCTACATTGGAGATTTCAAAACTTATTGGCACTACTTTATTAATGATTTACGTGAGTATTAATTTTTTCGATGGTGTCATTAAAGGATTAACCCATCAATTTTTTTGATCGATGTTTTGAAGTTAACGTTGAGAACTGCCACTAATTTAGCGGTAGATTGAATATCGACAGTTTCCACTATCACATTAATCCGTTGACTTATGTTTGGGTGATGACAGGGTTCATTTTTTAGATCAAAATTTCCATGTTGGAAGCTTAAAAATTAATAACGAGTCGTGCGTTCGTCTTTGATGTTCACTCCGTGCACGTATTTAATGTGAACTGTTTGTACGGCATTGCTGCCGCGACGCAACTCGTACTCCATTATTGTTTGTATTTTTAGCTTGTCCATATTGATGAAAAAGATACGATTGTAGTGAAAACAAAACTCTAATAAAACAAATGACTGAACAAGAAAGTACAATTCCATATTATTAAAATAGAATTCATTTGAATTTAGAATTTATTGCCAGCCATACATAGTTGCGTTTGAAATGGTTTTATTAGTATTATATAGTATATTAGAATATTAGTATTATAAAATATTAGTATATAGAATATTAGTATTATAAAACTACAACTTCATAGGTAAAAAAAGACCTATTATTTTCGATAATACTCCTACAACAGTCAAATTATTATTCGAAATATTCTTCCCAAAGAATAGGTACTTTTATCCTCTATATACTTATATGATATTTTATAATTAAAATCAAATAATAATAAGCGGATCTCTTTTTTAGATCACTGGACTCCGTACTTTGAACACTTAAAAGAAGCATGGGAGAAAAGACATCATCCAAATCTTCTATTTTTGTTTTACGAAGAACTCTCCAAAGTAAGTTTGTTGCAGGCCTGAGGATTTTCTCATTCTAAATACAATGAATTAATTTGGATATGAGCGAACTTTTTATTTATAAAAGGTCACTGTTATAAAAAAAAAAACTTCGAATTGCCAGTACATAGTACATATTTACGTGATATTTACTTGCGTATGCTGGTCTTGTCTCACAAAATCTTACTGTTTTAGGACTTGCAGAAGACAGTTCGTCGAGTGTCACAATTTTTCAATAAGGATTATACGATGGACGAGATAATTAAATTGTGCGAGCACCTCAGTATCATGAACTTTAAAAATAACAAATCCGTAAACTTCAACGTGATGGCAGAACTCGGCGTGACTATAACAGGGGAGCAATCCTTCATACGAAAAGGTACATTGGTATATTAAATAGCTTAAACGTAATTTGCTCCACGATTCTAAACGCGTTCTTTTTTTTTTTTCCTACCTATGCTGATAGCCTTGAGAGGCTATTTCAGCTTCACCCTAACGATTGTAGGTGAGCTCGCGGGGCTCAACCGGAGAGTTGCTAACACTGACCCTAGCAAGAGCAGTGTTTCGCAGAATCTACCACCGGATCGGAAACGCGACCCACTGAGAATATCCGGCGAGAAACTCAGTGGGCTGTGTCTATGGGTTAGTTCGCTCGTCGAGCCCTTCGTCACAAGCGACGGGTTCGACGAGGACGGTGACCGGAGAAACGCGTTCAAGTTTTGTTATTCGTTATTTGTTATTAATTTGTCGTTATGACATTAAATTGTAACTATATTTTAACAGTAAGACTTTTTCTCCTACGAACCCAGAGACAGGCCAATGAAAAATCACCCTGTCTCTAGCAATTAAAATATAAAATACCTTATTACTAATATTGGTGATGCTTTAATTTTATATGAACTCTAGGTAAGGCCGGTGGCTGGAGAGACTATTTTGACGAAGAAATGACTAAAGAAGCAGAGAGCTGGATGCAAAACAATCTGCGCGATACCGACCTACGATTCCCGCACTTAGAAGAAGATTTCTAAATATTACAGGATACATCAAACCTAAGTTATTAAATTTTAATAAAAGGTGAAAGTTGGGTGATTTTTTTAGTTTGTTCTATTAGCGTTTCTTCGGGTTTAATTCAATAACGGTGGTTTATTAACAGCTGTGATGTTACTACTCGGGCTTTTCCAAAAAGTCCACTGGAAAGTCACAGTATATAGCCGCCATTTTAGGGCCGAGTCACACCGGAATGGCAGCGGCCCCCGGCGGCCTCACGTGGCCCCCATACTGCATGCGCCTAGTCACCCCTTGACTAGTTTAGTTTCTTCATTCGGCAATGATACTCGTGTGCTTGGAGTGAACATGATGGAATTGGTTATTATATATAACCGCTGTGCCGCGGGCAGATCTACCAACAAGACGCACGTGGCGCGCGGCTGTTCGCTTCACCGCGGGCGGGCGGCGGCTATGTCGCAACCTTTTCTAGCTTTTCAAACGATACTGATCTTTTAAGTATATAGATAAAGTATAAAATTATTTCACACTGAAAGTGCTCGCTGCGACGCTGCCGGCCACTGCCATTCCGGTGTGACTCGGCCCTTACTGAAATTAAATTTCATCCCATTTCATCTAGTTTTATTTATTTTCATCTTAATTAATTAGTCTCAAATTAATCAACTTATCCTCATTTCGCTTCTATTATAACAGAATATAAGAAAATCTTAGACGCCGCCATAGCTCTGGTTACCAGGCCACGAAAGCTTAAAAAAACATAAAAAAATAAAATAACAATTATAGGGTGATAAACATTTATTCCAATAATATTATTATGCTCTATTTAAGTATTTCTTTGTAACACCATATCTTAAGTTTACGATACAATGGAGATTTTGTATGAACTACCAAAATAAACGATATAAATTTATAACGGCATTTCAATCGCACCAGCCGTGACATACTAAAAAAAATATCTGCACAAATAAAACAATGCATCAGTCCTTCCTTATTTTTTATTTAAATAATTATACGGTTATACAAAGAATAAATTAAAAGCCAGATTTATCAATCATTCGTTGGTAATATAAAATTCTAAAACAGACTTACAATAATCGCGACAATGGACAACAACCGCGCGCGCCACAAGCGGCTCTAATATAAAGTGAGTCTCCCGCACTAGCGCCGGCCGCCGTCGGGGACCGTTCACTTACAAAAAATCACAAAATTCAAGCGGAAACAATAGGAATCTGAACGCGGCTGGTTCACGCGATCACGTCCGGCAGCAGTGCGTTGTCCGCGGCGGGCGGGCTCGGCGGCGGCTTCACTACATCCTCACCGTTCGTCAGCGTCTCCTTTATTTCTTTCTTTAAGGAGTCAATTGGCTTTTTCGGCACAGCCTTCGGTGCGGTGCCCTTCGGACCGGCGGCGGGCTGCAACGGTAATTATAATAAATAGGACGGTCATTCATTGTCCGGTTAATATGAAAAAAAAACAACAATTAAAAGCAAATCACCTTGGCGGAAGCGGTCCGGGGCGGCGCAGTCTTGGCTGTGATGCGTTTGTTTGCGAGATCCTTACTTTGCTTGTCCAGAGGACTATTGGAAGCCATCGTTCTGTTTAAAAATATTACAAAATTAGTTATTCACGGGAGCCACAGACTGTTAATGTGGAGCCGTAATTGACTACATGGATGTGGCACTTCACGAGGACTAATTCGAATATTACGTAACTGTAGTACTTGACTGACCATTATTATAGTTTAAATTATGTAACTCATGCGGTATCACACTCTTTCACAAAGATTGACAAAAGAATTTTACAACAAGCATGCAATTTGGTAATCATATCTGCTAAAAATCAATTGCCATGTGAATAAATGAATATAGGTATGTATATACATAATATGTATAGCGTGGATAAAAAAAAACATTCAGCTTACAATTAAGACAGGTATATAGGTTGGAGGCGAGAAAGGCCAGAAAGATAAAGCATAACATATTTATTCAAACTGAAATATTATTACATGTACATATTATGTATATCATGTGTAACCATAATAATTCTTAAATTAAAATTATTATCAAAGATCTTAAACGTTGCAATGTCAACATTTCTAGATAGGCTTATAAAGGTAAATACTCACTTTGTGGGGGGTGCGGGGCGGGCTGCAGGGCGCGCAGGCGGGGCGCGGGGGGCGACTCTTGCAGGCAGTTTTGTATCCTTGACGTCACCGTTAGTAAGTGGTTTTTCGATAGGTTTAGGTTTCGGCTTCGCGGCTGGTGCAGCGGCGCGGGGCGGGGCGCGGGCGGCGGGAGGGCGAGGCGCGGGGCGAGCGGCAGAGGGCGCGGGGGCGGCGGAACGCGGGGCCGCAGCTGCAGGGGCGGCGGTGCGAGGTGCCGCGGACGTCTTTGGAGCAACCTTCGCACCGAGCGGAGGGTCTCGCGCGGCCGGTTTCGATGTGGGCGTGCTTGGTTTGGCACCACTAGATCGACCGACTGGGGCAGGAGAAGTTTTCGTCGTTGGAGTCGCCGATTTGGACGCGGTTGTGGTTTTCGTAGCTGTCGTCGTCGATTTCGGGACGGTCGTCGTCGACTTAACGGTGGTCGTTCTGGTGATGGCCATCGGTTTCGATGTCGGGAGCTTCGCGGATGGAGGCGTCGGCTTTGGTGGAGCGGCGCTCGCTTTGGGGGCAGTCTTCGTGGTAGAAGGCGTAGTACGCGTAGCGGCACTTCGAGCGGATGTCGGGGTCGCTTTTGTGACGGTTTCTGTTTTTTTAGCGGAGGGCGGAGCGCTGCGCGGAGTAGCAGTCTTTGCAGCTGATTTGGGTGTTCGCACATCAGTTTTAGTCGCCGGAGTCGAAGGTGATTTTTTTGTGGAAGTGGGTGTTTTTGTTTTAACAAGAGCAGCAGCGGTCACAGCTCCTGCAATGGCGGTGGCGGCGAGGGCTGGGGCGGCGATGTCGGCAGCGAGTGGCGTGTCGGCGAGGGCGGCGGAGAGATCCACAGCAGGCGTCGGAGGAGGCGTGGCGGCGGCGGGTGGCTGTTCGGCCTCTTCCGGTCTTATTTCGTTTGTGACAGGTACGCAAATCTCTTGAGCGCGCCTTTCCGGAATCCCGATGTCGATGTCCGTAACGAGTTCTCCACGTTCTTCGGGCACTACGTCGGGTGCCGGTACCGATTTTTCGATAGAAGGCTGAATTACCGATTCTGCGATTGAACTTTCGGAATCTGCCAGCTCTGTATTCAAAAGTGGCGAAATTTCTATCAATTCCAGCGGTTTTGCAGGCACCGAATCCAGAGGATCCACAGCTTCCAGCGATTCTGAAGTTAAAGGTGCTAGAGCCTTCGCTTCGAGTAGTTCTGTAGTTACAGACGCCAGGGGGTCTTTCACTTCAAGAGGTTCCGCAGTTACAGACGCTTGAGAGTCCTTCACTTCGAGAGGCTCCGTAGTTACAGACTCCTTGTCTTCGAGCGGTTCTGGAATTACAGTCGCCAAAGGATCCTTCACTTCTAGTGGTTCTGGACTTACGGACGCCAGAGAATCCTTCATTTCAAGCGGTTCAGCAGAGACTGACATCAATGAATCCTCCGGTTCTGTCGATTCCATAGGTTCTACTACCTCCGTATGGACCGGTTCGAGGGGGACGTCGGATTTTTCTCGCTCTACTTCGGGCTGATCCTCAACAGAAGCTACTTCCTGGATTGTAGACTCTAAAGGCGTTTCAATTGAAGTGATTAGATCATCGACTGGAATATGACTTTCAGCTGGTATGGGTGATTCACGTGGCAAAGGAACCTCAGCTGGTAAAGGCGAATTCGACCTGGAGTCTTTGGTTACTTTGACTGACTCATCTAATTCTGTTGTTGTTTCACGAGGTTCTGGTGAAGTAGCAACTGGCAGGGGGGAAGATACTGGGTGGTCATCGCCTGTGGGAAGTGGATGGTCTGTTTGAATGGTAGATTCCGTTTCAGGAGTAACATTCTCGGCTGGTAGTGGAGATTCCGACGGTAAAGGAGACTCTTCAGGTAAACGACATTCAGAAGGAAGCAATATTTCTTCTGTAGGCAGTGGAGACTCAACTGGTACATCATGCTCATCTGACAAAGGGCACTCAGCAGGCAATGGAGATTCAGCATGGAATGGGGATTCTATATGGAGAGGTGAATCTGAACGTAATAGTGATTCCTTAGAAAGAGCTGGTTCAGTGAGTAATGGTGATTCAGTTGGTAGAGGGGATTCTCGGGCAGATAAATTTTCTTTGGGAGTAAAAGTTTCACTCGGCTTAGGAGAGTTAGCAAATAATTCGAATTCTTTTGCCGGAGAAGAAATCCTGTTGTTTTGAAGCTCGTCGAAATTTTGGTTTTGGGTCGGAAGAGGTGATGCAACTGGCTGAGGTGAAGGAACAGGCGAATCTGTATTTTCACTTAAAGTAAATTCCTGCCCATACAATCTAATTTCAGGGGGCATTGTGTGTTTAGATGAAATTTCAGGGAAAATATCTTGGGGTTCTTCAGTGTGAATATCTGCAACAACGTTTTCTTTGTCATAGGTTGGTTCAGGTGTAATGGCTTCAGTTTCAACCATTGCATTAGCCGCTACATTAAAATCTTCCACTGATTTTGTTTCAGATGTTTCTTCAGGATTGGGGTTATTTATTTGTTCACTTAATTCTACTTCCAACACTTTTTCATTGTTTTCTAAAGAGTTCTCAATGTCAGATTCCACTTTCTTATATTCTTCTACTTGGTATCTGAAATCTTCAACTTTTTCATCACCTACTTCACTTGAACGTAAAGCTTGTAAAATATCTACACTTGAATCTTGTATGATTTCTGGTTCATGTTCTTTTTCTAAATCTTCTTCCAATTCTTTGATGAAGGATTCTGCTGCTTCACTTTGAATTTCATCATCATGTATTTCATTTTCTGAATTATTTTTATTTTTATCTAATGGTGTGATTGCCCTTAAGTCTTTTTCACTGTCAGAACAGTCTTGTAATTCATCATTTGTAAATCCTAATTCTGAACTTTTCCCATCCGGGATTTCAGGTATTTGCTCAAACATTAATTTGTGAGATTCTGGTGTGTCTGTTTGTACCACTGTTTCTTGTGTAGTTGTTTCATATTCTATGTTTGAGAATGATTGTAAATTGTCAGATGAGTTTATGTTATAATCCACAAAATTATCTCCTTCATTAAAATTACAAACATTATTGGATAAAGCACCCATTTTGTCATTTAAAATCATTATGTCATTGTTTGGTTCTTGACTATTTATGTCTGCCTCAGTTAAATCGGCATCTAATTTTGGATTTACATTTTCTTTGTCATCTCCTTCAGAATTCTCACAGATACCATTCTGTTGTAAATCTTCATCATCACTATCCGGCAGAGGCTGGACAGCATTGAGATCAACCTGTAGATCATTCTTTGTGAGCCTTTCACATGTGTCATCATCTTTTTCTTGATAAAAACTCATGCTCATGGGATCTCTTTCTTTATTTTTTAATCTTTCGAAAAGCTCATCATTTTCTTCCAAAGCAAATGGATTTGCTTCTGCATGTGTCTGAAATACCTATAAATAAATAAAAAGAATGTTATTTTCAGTCATTGAATTTATTTCTAACCTATATGACTCTTTCCTTTTTTTTATTAATATTTTACACTAGATATTAAAATGCACATATTAGAAGTCCTGTACCAGCTGCCTTTATTTTAAAATTCACAGTGCAGGTACTAAAACACTAAGTACTACCAAGTTTACCATTTTATTTTTTGCTCAAAAACCACTCCTTCATTTTTATTTTGTTTGAATTTTTTTTTAGTTCGAAGCAATAGGGAACATATATATTAGTAGAAGTAAGAAATGAATCTTGGCATGAAATTGATGCTTCTCTTCAATATCAGTTCTGGGATATTGAAAATCAATTTATATTGTGTAAATTATTTAAAAAATTACTACTAGTCCTCCATTTACTGGTTACCTCCATTTACATTTTATGGCGGTAGGACCTCTTGTGAGTCCTATTTATGCCGTGAAGCAGTAATGCGTTTCGGTCTGGAAAGCCGTTGTATCTATACTGAGATCTTAGAACTTATATCTCAAGGTGGGTGCCACATTTACGTTGTAGATGTCTATGGGCTCTAGTAACCACTTTACACCAGGTGGGCTGTGAGCTCGTACTCCCACCTAAGCAATAAAAAAAAATGTTTGAAGCTAGAAAATAATAAGAACCACGTACATAAATAAAATAGAAACCACTAAATACATACTAAAAAGTTGTGAGCTGTACCCATTCACAAGCACACGTCATCATTCTCCTGTCCTTCTCCCAGTCACCTGGGGTCAGCTCCTTTATCATATACCATTTCTTCGCTCACTCCCCTCTTACCCATATTGTCCTTCAGGCAAATCCATCCATTTCTTCTCAGGTCTACTTCTTTCTCTATATCCTTCCACATTCATAGTTAACTCTCTTACTAACCTCATTTTCATTTCGTCTCATTACATGCCATACCATCCCAAACGCTCACTTCTCAACTTCTCTGTCACAGGTGCCACTTTCAGACTTCCTCTAACATATATATGCTCAGAAGCACACATCCCTAATCTCTTTGTTAATAAAGCTATCAATGAAATTAAGGCAGTCTTCACTATTTGAAATGAATGTGTAACAAACCTGAATATTACAGAAATCAGTTGTATCTTTCTGTATTCTTTCAAAGTCCTGTATGAGTTCCACGTCCTTGACTTTGTCAGGTTCAATGCCCACATTGAATCCAAAGCCCAAACTATCCATGTTGCAATTATCATTACCATTTATTTGTTCTTTCATAGTATCTTCTATTGTTGCATTCTGAAATTTACAGATATATTTTTTAACTGGTAAACAGTTGCATATTTATATGTGTGTGTATATCCTGGGGTAGATACTAAGTTTGTTAAATAATTATGTACTAACACATGTTCACAAACAACTTCCACTGACTTCAACTGATGAAGAAATAACTTCAACTTTTTAAGATAAACCTGCAAAATGTTCAATATGTATCATAATTGGTGATATATTCTGAGAACACAAGATTTTTTACCTTTATCCTGCCTATTTCTGCACAAACAATATATCAGTTATTTTTCTTTCACTTTGATCTGGTAATCACTTAAAATTATGGTAGATCAAGTCTGGCCATTATATGATAAAAAAACATGATGATATTTAAAAAAAAAACAATTTATGAAACGGTTTCAAATCAAACACAATCCACTACAAAACATATTTCATTGGAACTAGGTAATGCATTTTTTCTAAATCAATGAGTGAGTCAGTCCAATTATGAATTATAATAATAAAAATACAGTACTAACATGATGGCCATTAAGTTGGTCGCAGTTGTCCAAGTCTAGAAGCTCAGCTGGTCGAACAACAGCTTCCGTGCGAAATTGTGTGACGTCAGGAAGATCAATATCGTCCATTGGTAATGGCTTACGCGGAGACTCAGCCAGCAACACGTCAGTCGCAGCGCTGCCCGGCACAAACACAGGTGCGTCGGGGTTCAGAGGTGAACTATTCATATCCACAGAGCTACTCTCCCACCCTGACTGTAATCAATAATTTAACAATAAATACATTGATAAATCAGAAAAACTATGAAATTTAACATTAGACATAAAAGTAGAAAGGTTAATGATTCTTTGATTAAAAACATGAATACATTATTGAAACATTGATAGATTTTCTGTAGGGTCCTATTTATCTTTTTCTACTTCTCTTCCTCCTCGTTATTTATTTCCTCGACTATATTAATTTTCTTCCTCCTCGACTATATTTCTCAATTGTTTTAAATAAGACCTACCACATATTTCTAGTTTTATTGCTTACACAGCTCACAGTCCACCTGGTGTTAATATTGGAAGTTATGGATATCAATGTCAATGCTGTTACTCAAGATTGCGAATTGATTAATTACTGGAAAACATAACTTACAGACTTTAAACATATCTTTTATATAGAGTAAAGAAAACATATTCCTTAACAACATTTGAGGGGCAAATGCTAAAAGGCGTACCTTGATGTTATTGCAATTGAATTGAATTGATTATTGCAAAGAAATTGCAATTATGTTTTCTACTATATGTACTTTAAAATGTTCATTATGCCCTTTCACAAAAGATATAAAATTATTATCACAACACAATTTACTGAAATTTGGTTAGGTTATTTTGAAATTCCCACATTTTATTTTTCTATTTTATAAAAACACAACCTTTTTTTTCTTTACTAAAATAAGTCACATTAATCTATTTTGTTCTTCCCTGTGGATTATAATGCAATAGTTATGATAAAATATTGAAAGTATGAAATTTTCAGCTATGTTTGTACACAGGTATTAAGAATGTCAGTCCAATGTGTTGTAAAGATAAAATGAAATTAATTTATGTGAAACGAGACACGTGACGGATGCAGAAAGAAGAGAACATCATTTAAAGATTATAAGCAACTATAATAAACAAAGCCAAAATGAAAAAAAATACAAGCAAGCTTACATTATCCTGACAAGGTGTTTCTGAGCGCGGTTGCTCCTCGGGTTCTTCGCTGGCGTTTTTCTCTTCGCGTTCACCTTCGCCTTTGTAATAGTTCCACTCGTCTTCAGAGTCCTCGCCACTCTCAGCTACATTATCCACTAGAGCACCGTCGACGTGGCCCTCTTCCACTGCACAGTACAAAAATCCATGAACTACTTTTCCGCTAGCGGATTAAACAATCTACGACAATCGACAACAGATCGGCAGTATCAACAGGTGACACACCCTTTGTATGCAAAATTATTCGATTGGTTTTTAATCACAAAAAAGGACTTCACTATTTTCGTTGTGATTAAAGTCACGTAATATAATAAAGGACAATTTCTCTTAAAAAAAAAACGAAAGATACTACAGTCGTTTCAAACGATTCCGGTTCGATACGTATCTATGAATGATCGAACCGCTGTTTTACCGGTCGCGAATTTAAAACTGTGAGACATTTGCAGACGCCATTTCGAGAACAGAGTAGACACGCCCGGCATTAAAGTTATCTAGAACGAAAAAGTGTACAAACAGGGAGAACTTGAAAGAATTTCATGTGCGCCGATAACTAATGGGGATGCGTCTTCGTTCGTTCTATTTCCAGAACCCGCTCCGCATGAATCAACACAGAAATAACCTTTCACAAACGGTATGTGAAAATTATTATTATCAACACATTCGCTCAAATCCACGTACCGTGAACGGTGATCTCACTGTACAGATTATAATCTTCACCGGTTGTTATTATTCGAGAGTTGAAAATGTAGACAAAACACCGATTGTTGCAACGACACGAGTACCAAGTTTAATCGTACAGACTCGGCGAACGTTCAACGAGCGACTGCGAGAGGGATCGGGGACGGAGCGGGACGGGCAGGACGAGTGGAGCGGAGGGCGGCGCGGTTCGGCGTGGCTACCAGGCGTGTACCAAGATAGGGAATAGGGATGCCCCATCATTTACATCACGCAAATATCGGGCAGCAGATTGTGATGCCAAATATTAATTACGATAATTATTTAAACTCTTCATGACACAACTGTCACCATTACAGACTCTCGGGAAAATTTCAATTACTGGAATATAGGTAAGTATTATTTTAAGCATTTTAAGTCAATTAAAATTGACTTAAAAATATGCATTGTTATTAATTAATTTTTTAATTATTTTTTTGAAAGAATTGTCATTTTTTTCTTTCATAGTAAGGGTGCGTTTTATGAAATTCATTTCTCATTGTGTCTGCTCTCATACAGAAAAACTTAACTAGTATAATAAAGTAACTCCGATTTAAAAAAAATTCTTGTCAACCCAAAAATAAAATAACTTAAAAAACTTGGTGATAATATAATTTTCTTGCGATCGAACTGAATATTTTGTGATAAAGATTAAAATGTATATTTGAAATTTTAATCTCAATACAAAATATGGCTCTAATAAAGAATATAAATAAATAAATAAATCTCAATACAAAATAATAAGAGCAAGTCACATGCTTTGTAGAATATTATCGATCAATTCAATATTTTTCCTTTGTCAATTTACTTAATTATACGGGAGAGAATAAGAAGGCTGACCTGTGTGTGCGGGAGGCGTAGGAGGCGCAGGCTCGGGATTTTTCTCGGCGTCGATATCGTCGACGTCGACGGCGGTCTCCGGGCCTAGGTCCTCGCTGTCGCTGTCCGAGTTATCGACGCCGTTGTCAGCGGGCTCGGTTTCGGCCTCCGCATCTGCATCGCCTCCCGACGCAATATCGACCTGCCGCCTGCATGACTCCGTCTCCACGGCGAATGGCGTTACGTTCGCCAATGTGTTGTCCAGCCTATTTTTTTATTATTTCAGTTAATTATTTATTGTGTTACGGTTCTAGTTATTATATGTCTCATTTTGAAATTGAAGATACGGGTTAGTCCATTTCCCAATTCCAGGTCAAACAACCCAAAGAAAGATTAAGATCAGGCCGGCCGGCAGTTATTCATAAAGCTACGAAAAATGTAAAATTCGAACATAGAAACATAATATGTATTGGTTTTATTTGCTTCCAACAGAGATAGCAGCGTGGATTTTATCAGCTACTCTGTGACATGAAGTCGAAGGTTCAATTGTCTTGAAATCGGCGTCATTGCTTCGCGACAGTAATTGGCAGGATTGTATCTTGTGCGAACTAAGAACACGTCCTACCATCATTTAATGCAGTTTGGTAATCGCTTAATGTACCTACTCAGAAAACATTTCTATCCATTCGCTGGTAAAATTTTAGTCGCCTTTTACGACACAAAAATTGTAGTACAACGTACTAATTTTTTTCACACCGTACCTAATCTTAAATTAGAATAATTTAATGAAGCCAATTTTTTTTTACTACCTATTGGTTTTTTTCGACTAGTCCAAATAACACTAAACATATGTTAAAAATCTACATTTTAATTTGTAGCCATCGTAACCTACACACATTGTGTACGAAAACGATTGCAGAGAACGATCGTATTTCAAACTATCGAAACAAACGAAAGTACTATGTGTAAAATTTAGATAACTATACTTTCGTTTTCAAACACTCCTATTAGCTGATAAGCTCTGAATTGGCCAAGGTCGTTTTGGTGATGTCAACGTCGAAACGTCGTTAAATTTAAAGAATTTTACATAAACTGGTTTTAAATACAACACGTTTAGGCGTTTTTTTTTTGACAAATTTAACATATGTCTTAAGCAGTTGTTTAAGGAAGAAATATTTGACGGTTACGTAAAATTTTACAATAACTAAAAATAATCCAGGCACTTTTTTTTCCTACCTATGCTGAAGCCTTGAGAGGCTATTTCAGCTTTACCCAACGTGTAGGTGAGCTCACGGGGTTCAAACCGGAGTGTTGCTAACACTGGCCCTAACTCAGGGGGCTGTGTCAATGGGTTAATTCGCTCGTCGAGCCCTTCGTCGCAAGCGACAAGTTCGACGAGGACGGTGACCGATGCTTGTGGTACCTAAAAGCACCGTTAATGGATCGGGAGGATCCGTAATTATCTGATCCAGCGATGTGTATCTATGAATTATTGCTACGACTTTTACAATATCGTTGTATCAGCGGAGTCAGAGATTGTTAGTGGAAGTCCAAACTTTGACAAGATCAGTATTTCGTTCTGCGTAATAGCGAACGACCAGTAAATTCGCCTCGCAGAGTCCTAAAAGCGCATGCCAATTCTCGTGACATGCTCCTATTCTTCGATAGGTCTCACTATTCCTTAAAGACTTAAGTATAGTGACGTTTTTAGCGTCATTTCGACTTGTGAAAATTTTGGGTTTCAATAGGTACCTCAGAAAATAATAAAGGTTTCGCTTTCAACGATCGGAAGCTAGAATTCTAACCTATCGTATGAGTTTAGGAAATACGCATACGAGATAAGTAGAGTAGAGTCCGAGTACTAAGCATTTTTAACAAAGATACAGAATCGAGCCGTGAGCTCATGGTAGAAATTAGGGTCACTGACTTTAAGACCAATGTGGCGATCTTATAAATGAGCTCCATTTCCTGAAGCACCACGATTTGACGTCGGTCGATTTAGTATCGCATTAATTGTATATTATTATTTTATAAGTTTCGAATACTTAATTTGAATATCATACCAATTACCGTATAATAATTTATTATTTTATAATAAGAGATAATAATTTATGCAGTTGGAGAAAATAATGAGCATAAAAATAAAAGCGTAAAATTGCCAATTACTCTTAATTTAACTTTTACTAGTGGTAGAGCATATTGTGAGCTTGCACGGGCAGGTCTATCAGGAAGTCTCATATTTTATGATTTAGTATCCTTTAGACTCGCATACAACGACTTCGCAGCAGGTATGATAGTGACAAAACCTCAGCTATATAGATTCGCAGCCTGGCCTACTTTACTTAACTAAATTGCATACCTACTTTTATATTTATATTTTTTAAAGCATATCGATAAAAAAACGGATTGACCGATTAAAAGTCGTACACACAGACATTATGTGGCTTTTGCGTCCACATTTAGCCTGAAAACTGATAGAAAGAGACAAAACACTGTGTTAATAATGAGCATTGACTATTTTTTATTTTTTTTGAAAAACCGTTCCGAGAGTAGTTTAGCTGATTGCCGAAAAAAAAGTAATGAAATTGAATAGTCTATAACCATGTCACAAGTTTCACTTCGGCTTCATATTTTTTATGCCAGTGATGACGCGATCACCTTGATCTCCGATGGCATATTCAATTAATTATTATAAGACTACAGTGAATATTTAAAACAATTTATTAAACTGGCCTATATTTTCTAGAATAAATTAATATATTTTTTTAATCCCATGCCCATAACACGACTTTTATTAACAGGGTCATGTAATTTAGATGAAGTTCATAAAATATCAACGGTTGAACAGGTCGTAGTGAACAGTGATAAATGCTATAAAATTTATTTTAGACATTTCTAAAAACAGTGTAAAGGATTTTTTTTATAACTAGGCCAAGTTCTTCTTATTTTATAATATCTAATTCGTAAAAGAACTACCAATTTTGGCTTGGTCTGACTTTTATATGCGCCAATAACGAAAAAATCTGGAAATAATCTTACCCAAGGTCCATGGGCGGGTAGTTGTCTGCGACTATGTCACGAGGGTCCTTCAGGAACACTACGATTATTGAGATATTATCTGCTGAGCCTAGTTTCTTGGCTTGGATTATCAAACGTTTCGTCACCGCCTTCAAGTCATCTGCACCAAACAAAAATACAAATTATTTACTTTGTTTTTTTTTTATTGCTTATATGGGTGGACGAGCTCACAGCCCACCTGGTGTTAAGTGGTTACTGGAACGTAAATGCGCCACCCACCTTGAGATATAAGTTCTAAGGTCTCAAGTAAGTTACAACGGCTGCCCCACCCTTCAATCCGAAACGCATTACTGCTTCACGGCAGAAATAGGCAGGGTGGTGGTACCCACCCGCGTGGACTCACAAGAGGTCATACCACCAGTAAAAAATGAAGTATTATTAATTTTAAACGATTCAATAATTTCGGTTTTAGTCTACTTTAAAACATTTCCTAGTTATATATTTATATAAGTCTGTTACAATTGAATTGATACCGTATTTATTCGTTAGCAATATCTTTAATAAGCCTTATTCGCAACTAACCCCATGTTATATTCAACATCTAAAATAAATGTTTCTGAATAAATTAAATGTCCTTAAAATATCAATGTGTCATCTAGCACAGAGGGTGTTGCGAAGTCCATTATGTGTGCAATTTGTTGCGCCACAATAGTGAATAGTGTTGACGGATATGGAGTAACGATGTTTATACTACAATTTTCTACAGTGCCGACAGTATATGAACGTGTCCTTGTTCTGCCTCAAACTTGCCGACATGAGTCAGTGTCGGACCACTTCGACATTGTCTCGCAGACAACGAATACGTGATGAGCCTTCATTTGACTGACAATTACAATATTTAATTGCAACCAAAACGCTTATGATACTCATAACTACGTGATGACCTTGCCACGACCGATTTCAACTTTTAAAACAATAAAAAATTTTCATAGCACAATTCTCACGAGATCTCTATTAGGGCAATTAATCAAAAGTTTATAAACCCGCCTAGCCGTTAGGAGCGGCAGACATATTAGTGTAATATAGCGTGCAAACAAACAATATAGTTCTTGCAACAATGCGAAATGTGGAGTTTTTGGACTGTATGTTTTACGTTGTTGGACGTGTTAGTTAATTAGTTCACATAAGGTTGTTGTGGCTTTCATCGGGTGTCGTGAGTAGGACCGACACACCCAGGGCGTGTCCGGTTCATAATGATATTAGTGTTACATTTAACTCTGCAAAATGTAGTTTTAATAGGTATTTATGGTCTGACTACACTCCTAGACTTTCCTTGCAATATGTGGGCGTGGGAGTACCATCTGTACTGCCTTTCCTTTTACCCTGTGTACTCTGGGCAATGACCAAACACCTTAACGTGTTTATTTTATTGTCATTTAACTAAATCTAAAAGTTTTTATTATAGCTGTAACTTCTTGATTTTTAAATTCGAGGAGTGTTTCAAAAGATATGGATTTGCAACTCCGGCTCTTTAGACTACTACCACTTCGTCTGTACGCGATATTAGTACGCGGTACGCGGTAGTAGCAATAGTAGTAGTTTCCTCTAATTTATCTCTAATTTAAACCACAAACTAATTCATATCTTAACTTGACAAATAAACAGAGTTGAAAATCACAGATATGATTTTTTCGGTCACCGTCCTCGTCGAGCCCGTCGCTTGCGGCTTGACGAGCGAATTAACCCACAGACACAGCCCACTGAGTTTCTCGCCGGATCTTCTCAGTGGGTCGCGTTTCCGATCCGGTGGTAGACTCTGCGAAGCACTGCTCTTGCTAGGGTCAGTGTTAGCAACACTCCGGTTTGAGCCCCGTGAGCTCACCTACATGTTAGGGCGAAGCTGAAATAGCTTCTCAAGGCTATAAGCATAGATAGGGAAAAAAATAATGATTTTTTAATTCTCGAAGCAGCGACGAACATTACCCAGTAGAAAACGTTTGTTATAATTACAACGAGAGTGGAGCGAGCTGCTGGCGATCACTGCAGCGATTACTGCCGGCGTGTAACGGTGACGCCGATGGAATGCAACTCGGCCATTGTTCCCTTTAATACGAAGTAAAAAAAAAAAAAACTCAAAAGAGCCATAACCGCATTCTAGAGTGGTCGTGTCTGCAGAGTGTTCGACAGGTGCGAATTACCTACCATTAACAAACAAGACAGTGCAATTGTTATTGAAAAAACAAAGGAATTCTTTGAGTATTTTTAAGAGATTGACGAATTGATTAGCGAACACCATTAATGATGGAAAGTAATAATCATACTGATTGTATATTATGATATGATATATGATATGTAAATTCGTTTGCTACTTTTTCCATCAGCTCACAGACGTCTACAGGTGGACATAGATCTATTAGATAAAAATAATTTATTACATTAAGATAAAAATTACTACTTTTGAAGCCAACAGGGGCATAGATTTAATTATTGTTAAAATTCTATATCTAATATTAAAATATTTTTATTGTTAAAATTCTGTTGAACTTATATCTATTCTTATCATCCTAATTAAAAATAAACGGAGAATACAACACTGAATTCTCTTTTACAAATATAATTATAAAATAGATACGACTACAACATTGCATATTTATATTTGTTTCGTTTGTTTCAGGATTACTTTTACAACTAGATGACAAGTTGATTGAATTTAATATATTATAAGTTCTTGAAGGATAATAATGAAATATCAAATATGGTCTGATCACGAATAAGCTTATGTGTATATGGGAAAAATATTTTTCATCCCGCAGTGAAAAGTAGGTAGGTACACACACATCATTACGTATACCTATATATTTTTTTTAATACCGTATTTTTTCTTCATACCGAATATTATATCACGATTTATGGAAAAATTAAAAACATCTAATTTAAAAATTTTAGTGTTATTTGTATCTGACCTTCACTGATCGGATTTGGCTGTGATATACCTACCTACCGATAGAAAAACCGGATCAAAATTATAACCTAATTTTTTTTATCATTGATTACGTAACACTATAAATTAAATTAGAAATAGGTGCAAGACCGAAATCGAATAACAAATGAGAAAACGTCTCTTCGTAGGGGTAGGCAGGCGCGTAGTCGGATTAAGTGCAATTTTCAAGTGAGCTCATCTGAACCGAACCAGCGCAACCTTCGTACAACTCCGGCAGACGGTGGGATTATTCCCGTCTCCATTTCGGAAAGTATAGTACCTACTTTTAAGATAAATATAAATGAATATGAATTCAATTTTATAGCATGCTACTAAAAAAACAATATTACCATTAAAAAAGTCTTTGAATCCTTAATTTTGCAATGTATCAAATACAATAAAAAAAGTAGTGTTTTCTGTATATCATAAATGCAACCAAAAAAAAAGTGTACATCGATCTTACATTCAAATAAATAGCTATAAGTAAGATGTAGATCATTACATTGAAATAAATTATGGTGCAACAGGAAGGCAGATCGAGACAGACTGCGATGGAATGGGAAATCCTCCCCGTAATATGGCCGCTTTCGTTCACGAGCTGTGGTAACTTCTTCTTTATTTCTTAACGAAAAGGTTCAAAATACAATGTTACATTTATTTAATATAAAATAGTTGCGAGCTCCGTCAATAAGCCGCTCCTCAGACAGGCTTTCCCACAATTTAGTTTTATTTACGTCTACGTGCCCATTGCCAGGGTCGTTATGTTACTTGTAATTTTATACTTTTCAAAATAGCAAATTCTAGAACAAACTGTTATAGTATCTGATAATTTCGAACCAGCGTAAAATTTCTTCCGAAAATAAGGAACTTGCTATTTATGAGAAAGACTGAATATGATTATTATTTACTACCTTAATCCGTTATGCCGCCTACATACTTCGTCAGAAAGTTACACAAATCTACATACTTTCATCTTTATACATTATTACTAATTATGATCAGTGAAAATATTTTTTTCTACACCATTTAATAACAACATTATAAACTAATGCCTAATTAAGTCGGTTGTTTGCATAACGTGCCAAACAATTTTCAACTAAAATCGTTTGTCATTTGATTATGATAATGGAATCCATACCACGGCTATAATTAGAATGGAACACGAATTCTGTTAATTTGCAAAATACGTTACGCTTAATTAAGGTGGCAGCACGAATACCTGCGGCCCGTGTGGTACGTAATTCGCGTGCATTGTGCAACAGGGAATCCAACCCGGGTTGACAATGCGTCTGCGGTTAAATAGTATTATACTACGAAGATATAGGTATTGCTGTTCGAAAATCTATACTAATATTATAAAGCTGAAGAGTTTGTTTGTTTGAACGCGCTAATCTCAGGAACTTCTGGTCCGATTTGAAAAGTTCTTTCAGTGTTAGATAGCCCATTTATTGAGGAAGGCTATAGGCTATATAACACGCTAAGATAAGAGCACCAATAAAGAATGTTTCAAAATCGGATTTTTTTTTTCCTTTTGAGAGCTTCCGCTGCGTGCGCTGCAGAAACGGTTAAAGTTTCGCTAAAATAATGTACAACAGAATTGTTCCCCTTTAAAAGATCTAAAAAAAGTCCGCGATAGCATATTATGTCTATATGTTAAGGTTGGCTCATTATAACGTTTTTTATGCTAACCAAATTTGTTCTTAAATAAAGCATTATTTGGGAACTATTCCACGCGGACGAAGTCGCGGGCAAAAGCTAGTCCTTTATATAATGAATGCAGTTTGTATTGCAAACCATTTATTTATCGCTAGTTCGTAATATGAATAAAACAGCGCTACCCATATTGGCGTGATTCCAATACATTATAACATTATAGTGTGGTATAATTTGGCAATATGGAACCCATTAACAATTCATCAGTCACATGCATAAGTTTTTGGTGCGTGAATAAAATCGACTCATGTTGACAGACACATTATCGTTCCATAATATTATAAATTGACAGAACAGTACTTAGATGAAATCCCGGCTAAGATACGACAACCAACAGCTCGTATTTCGATGCGACAGTTGACAAACATTAGGCCACTTCCACGCTAAAAGCTTTTCGATATACAGACTGTGTCAACGTTATAATGACGTATATACATATATTATAATACAGCGAGTCTCGTGAGGGG